AACCCTATGTACAATAAAAAATAAAATAATCTAAGATAGGTATATTAAAAATATAAAAACTCAGTCATACTTATATACAATCAAGCAGGGAACCCCAAGCCAGGCTTCTCCCTCCAACTATAGAAGGAAAAGCAGGACTCCAAGATATCCCTGCGCTACTCTCTCAACCGCGTCATTGGTGCTAAGGCCAGTGGAGTTTGAGCGAGAGCGCTTTATAATCATTAGCTATAAGGAACCGCTTGACTGGACGAATTGACAAAAATATAATATTTGGTGGCAATCCTAATAATGTGCTTTATCCCAGATGTAGAAAATCGGATTTAAAGATACATTTGACGCCTCATTGTCATTCCGAATTTTTGTAGTACATGATGTTTATATTAAAATTATTATATTTATTTTCTTAGCCTTTGTCGGACTTTAACCTATGGTTGATGATTAAGGTATGGTTATAGTTATAGTTCTTGTAAACTGGACAAAAATAGATGTACCATCTTCCAAGTTTGACCTTCGCTGCTTATTGGATTCCGGATATGAGTTTTGTTACCTGTTTCAATCATATCCTGCGGTCATGAGACCTTGTTGTTTTGTGTTTAGGAGCAAAAAACTTCTGGGGATTATTTTCTGTAGTTTGAATCAGTCTTGTAATTTAAGTAAGTGATCAGTCAGCCTGTGTAGGATCCTAACGTTTTGTGAGAATTGTATCGTCAGTGTATTTAGCCATCGAAGTAGGTATCAAATGCAAATTCAATGAAAAGATTTTTAGATCAATTAGGGTAAGGATACCAGCGATGGACATAGCTAAGGAATTTTTTGGGTTATACCGAAGTAATTATTATAGTTATAAACGTATCCGTTACAAATTTAGGATCTCTAGGGTCTCCATTTTCTACTTGAAACATTAAAATTGAAAATCATACCAGATTACAACGACAAGAAACCGCTCGACGTTTCTGATTACTCCAGCACTTACTAGACAAACGCTCTAAACTTCCAATTAATTACAAAAGACTCATATACATGACTATAATAAGGCCTATTTGGACTTATGGAGTTGAGCTGTGGGCCTTCACTAAACCATCGAATTCCTCCCGTATCTAATCCTTACAATCCAAAATCCTCAATGCTCCCTACTTTGTTACAAATAAAACCATCCATAATGACCTTAATGTATCAGATCTGGTCCAATCCAGATACCTATCCTTCCATAATAAACTTCAGAATCATTTCAACCCTCTCGTTTCTAACCTTGCTTCCTTTTCAATTCCTAATAACCCTCCGAGGCGTCTGAAAAGAAGATCTTCTAATGTAGACATATCATTAGAGTGATACCGTTGGGTAGTTTCTCAACAAGTGTTTTCACGTCATTATATCCATATGTTCAAATTTACTAAATGTATTTCTTTAATACAGTTGTAAATATCATTAAGAAATTAAAAAAATATTCAGTTCTGAAGGTATAATCTCCATTTTAAAAAAACACCTTTTTGCTCTCGGACATCCCGAAATTCAATTGTTCTAGTTATGGACATGGGGTAGGTACCAGTAATAGACACACCTCAGAAAAACTGTTTTATTTAGTTATAACGATAAGATAACATAAATATTCAACTTACTCTTAACAACTGTGACTGTTAGTAGGAAGGTATAAGGAACACACTGATTTCACGAGCACTGAAGAAACAACAATTATAGGCATTCTAAATTTTTCTTTTGGTAACTTTGTTCGTACAGTTGTCAATAGAGGGCATTGTTCTTCAATCTAGAAAAAAAATGGAACCTTTCAATCAACATGGAACATTATTAATTACATTTAAAGTCCAAACTGTCTATCCATAACTGGTGCCTTCACCCTATATGAAAATATCGTTTTTTTTTTTTTTTTTCTTTCAATAAGCTTTTCTTCCTATTAAAAAAAAATATTAAAATTTTAAAAAATAGTTGTATACACAGCGATGTTTTTCCCTCATGGTTAACATAATCATATGCATAAATATCGAATTAATTATTTAGTGAATGATACGCATATCCAACTCACTTGTATCGACGGGCAGACCTTCCAGCCTGGATTCCCTTCAGCCGTCCTCCAGGTCTCACGAGGTCGACTTCACTTTTCTTCTCTTGTGGGAACTGTGACAGACGTTTTGGCAATGTCCCCAGCTACTGTTTCGCAAGGCATTGCCACTTCCTTATCCGATTTCAATCTCATTTTCGTCTGTATTCTAAGTCAGCTCAAGAATTCTCGATTCGTTGAGTTGTTTCAATCCTGACAAGGTCTCGACACCGTGTCTATTTCATGCTAATTAGAGCTGTGATTATTTGTTTCAGTATTAAAGAAAACATAAGGAAAACACCATGCTAAATGATGGGGATTTGATACTTTCTGTTTACTGAGAAGTATTACAATCTCAATTAAGGACATTTATGAAAGAATTCAGAGAGCATATTCACACCTTAATTACAAAACATGAATAAATAAAGTAATAACAATATAACACACAGAAAGAAATAAAATAAAATGTATCTTAAAAGTAAATTTAAAATCTTGGACACCGGCATATTTATTTACACTATTTATAGTCAGCCAGGAAAACTCCGAACCAGTCTTGTCCCCGTACTTTTGAAGCGAAAAGCAAGGCTCTAGGAGATTCTAGTACTTCTTCTTCAACCATTTTACTGGTTACTAAAATCCAGCGAAGATTAAGGGGGCTAAAGCCACAGACACTCATGACTTCAGCGGAAGATCTGGCCATTGCAGAACTTCAATATATACATATTTATTTCAGGTCTTGGGGTAAGTACCGTTTTAACCTACAAGGATTGCATGGATGAGTGGTACTAGATAGGGATTGTGAAATTTGGAAAAATTTTATGGGCTTAGATCAACAATTAATGAAATATTATGGTCATTATTGGTTTTATTGGTTACATAGAAGGGATCATCGACTATTATTCGGAGGACTTTCGACTGGAAGGATCGAAAGCTTAGCTGTCTCCACAGTTCTAGTCCGTAGGTACTGGTGGGATTCAGTATATTCTTGTAGATCAGCAATTTGTTTTCATTAGAAAGTTTAATGTTTTGATACTAAGGAAATAATTATTACATTTTCTGGTTGAATTTTCTAAAAAATAACACCGCTCCGTTAAAAAGAAAGATATATTTTGGACTGAACTCTAAGAACCCCCATAAACTGTTTTGTTTATTTATTTTTTCTGTTTGTTTTATGTACATGTATGTTTTTTTTTCATTCTGTATTTTTATTTTTATTATCTATTATTTTGTAAATATTTAATTTGATCTATGGCCATGCTGACATGTTTTATGTATTCTGTATTTATAATTGGTTCTGAAGGGACATCAGTCCAAGGATGATAAAATTATTTTCATTTAATTTAATAACAGTAGATTAGTACTGTCAAAATATTAATACTGTAAAAAACAACTAGATCAGCATGTCAATTCACGTCTAATTCTAAATTGGCTGAATTTTTTTTGTAAGCTAGACAGATTTGACGTGACTCGACTTGGTTTTAGCGCATCCTTAGTGATCTTCCCTGATTAAACTGTTATTGCGTGACAGTGGAGTGTAGTTTTAATTTCGATAGGTTTTGGTCGAGAATATTTATGTTACTTTCCTAAGCCCATGTCAAGGAATTCTCGGATAACCTAACTTCTCATAATTTTGATGGAAAAAGACTGACTTATCGATATTTATATGTGTCTATATCTATGTATATCGATATGTGACTCAATTGTGTCTATCGATTTGACGATGGCGATTGCTATCTTCGATACATTGACATTTCACCTTCATCGTTGGCCAAATATTGCCTGCATCTAGGCTCACTGTCTCATAGAACGTCTTAAACCCATGTTAAATCAATTAGTTAGTGTTAAATCATTTTTACTTTCACTTACCTATATATGCAATACATAGTAACAATAAGTATTGCGATCGTGAACATTTTTGAATTTGAGTTTTATCAACGGAAATGCACGTTTTGACTGAATCTAAATAAGCAGGTCCCGAAAAATGGTCTGGTATGTGAATAGTACAGCGAATTTACCAACAAAAGGCTATAACCCTAGAAACCATCGGAAAACGATTCCCAGAAACAGAATGGCTCCATGTATATACTGATGGTTCTGCATTGGAAGCACGCAAACATGCCGGAGCTGGAGTTTATTCAAAAGAATTTCAACTTGCCGCCCTGGTCGGAAAGGTAGCCACAAACTTTGAAGAAGAAGTGAAAACCATTCTCTTAGGCCTTGAGAGATTGGTTAAAATACAAGAAAATTTCTTTCTTTGTTGACTCACAGGCTTGCTTTGTCTCTCCAAAATAGATATAATATGAATCCAAATATCCTCAAATGCCATCTGTATTTGGACCGATTAAAGGAAAATGGTACAGAAGTCGCTTTCCAGTGAATACCAGGTCATTACGAGTTCCACAGAAATGATGAAGCTGACAAACTGGCCAGAATAGGTTCTGGAATGATCCAACCAGATATTCCTCTGGGCATGGATTCAACAAAAAGAATTATAAAATAAACCCTCCAAAGTTCACTGAAGGAGAAATATGCGCAAACAATTGAAGGAAAACGATGGAGTGAATTACTGGAAAAAAGTGGTAGGATCCCTAGAGACCTCCCTAGAGGGCAAGCAGTGGCATGCTTTAGAATGCTCACAGGCCATGATTTCCTCCTGAAGAACCTCCACCGCCTCGGTATAAAAGATAGCCCGACACGTCCTCTGTGCTCCTTTCCGTGAGGAGTATCAATGAAAATATAATAGTAGACAGATAAAATCAGTACAGCATAATTTTTTTTACATTTTTAAAGTGGGTGATAACACTTTCCTCCAACTGATAAAATCCATTTGTGCTTGTGTAAGCAAAAGTAGTGAATGGAATTTATGAAGCAGAATACACATCAAACCTTAAATCGGTTTATTTTTTATGAATCTGTAATTCCGGTTAATAACAATAAAGATTAATTCCCCATATGTAAACTACATGTGATTCCTTTTCATTTTTTAATGTTTTAGTATAAGTTTCAAAATTATAATTATCGTATATAAAATTTGGTTTAGATTCGAAATTCACAGTTAAAGGACGCATTTAAAGGTATATATTGATAACCGAATAATCATTACGAACAATTTCAATAGTTATATTAATAATAATCATATACAAGAATTTAATGCGAGATGTTTGATGTCCGTCAGCAGTATGTAAAATTATTTTCTTATATTATATTAATCTTATTTCCATGATAATGAACCATGAGCTTATTGTGCAGTTGTTGAGGCCTTGACTGAAAAATGAAGAAAAACTAATTCCAATACCCTCAATTTTTCCTCGTATAATTATTAAAAAATACCGATAATTTTATATCTTTTTTAAACTATATTATCCATTACTCACGAGGGAAGGCGTGAAAGGAATACAAAAAATCAAAACAGAGTTATGTTCATATGACTCAACGAACGTTGTATCTACAAACGTCTACTGAAGCTTTTACATTAGCTAGTAGTATTAATGAGAGAAGCATAATTCTAAATGTTTTTACTGTTGTATCCATAAGTACTTTGTGGATTGGATGGTTTCTGCCAAAACAATCTAAATGTTTATAGAATTTGTGTATATATATATATAGTGGGATTTATAAAGTTGAGGGACTCTTGATTGCCCTTAAGCAAGCGAACGTAGCGGGAGATAAGTCGGCAGCTGTGGTCCTTCTAAAGCAATAATGATACCTCCAAAACATTGTCTTCTTCTGTTCCATTGTTATACTTTTTCTTAAATTACAGAGATGATGAACAATAATCTGCGAAAAAAAAATGTGATAAGAATTTTTATGGACTGTTTTGCAAAATTACAATGGACAGGAGTGAGGGGAAAAATTCGAAAATGTACCAGCAAACATTTTGATTTCGTAACTTGCCTACTCAACTCTCTTCTAGATACTCCTGCCAATGAATTCCGTACATTCGATGGAGAGTGTATTTATGGACCATACAATTGGGTACAGCTAAACAGAGGTGTCCAGAAGGGGGTTTCATGGGGCAAGTTGGGCCATCGAAATTTTTGAGAGGGCCACATTTTGACGGAGTTTGTATTTTTGAGGGGAGCACATTTCGACGGAGTTATGAATTTTCGGAATGAAAAGTTTCAATAAGGAAACAAGGAGACAACACGTAACAGACCGCTGTAACTTTCATTGTATATCTAAGACTTTCTAAATTCTACTTTATTGAAAATTGAATAGTTGACCGTTGCGTTGTAAAGGAAGGAGATGGTCGGGGTCGCGTTTTGCCACTATTTAGCCTATTTATGACCTCCACTCCGGACCATCTCCTTCCTTTTTAAATTCTACTTTAGTTGGCACTGTTGTTAAGAAGAAGAAAGCAATAAAATATCCTGGGAGAGGGGAGAGGGTGTATTCTTGCGCCATTGACCTTGGTGGGGATGAGCACCCCTACCGCTTAACTGTCATCTCAAAATATACTGCAGGCAATCGCTTTGTGAGAGTGAGAGTGAGAGAAAGAGAGAGGGAAAGGGAGAGAGAGAGGGCGAGGGAGAGGGAAAGGGATAGAGAGAGAGAGAGTGGGCGAGGGAAGGCACTTTCTTCCTCCTCTTCCCCTCCATAATATTTGATTGCCCTGATCTAACAGAATAAATAATTACCTTCCAGAGCCAGACTCAAATCCGGGACATCGAGCATAAGAAGTCAGTGCCTTGCTCAGTGAGCTATCCCGCTTCCTTAACTTATTAGCGAACTCGTTTCTATGGGGTTCTCTACCGCCATCTCCTATGCATTGAAGATTCTCATCATTTACCTCTCTTCTCCTCCCTCCCTTCTGCTCCACGTGCGCTTATGTTGAGATCAATTTTTGTCTATTCACCAATAAAAATCTTTTTCTTTTTCTATTCCTTATAAAGCATTTTGGTTTTTTTTAGTGGCTTCATGTCAAAGACATTCATCATTTACACCATTTCTATTTTTTCTCATATACATTAAATTTAAACTAATTCTGATTTTTTTTTTTTTTTTTTTTTTTTTTTTTTTCAACTTAGGACATTCTCTTGAATTTGTATTTTCTTTCCTTGCAGATATCGGGCCTATCAGTTTACTGTATACAGCCCTTCAGCAAATTTGGTAATTCTACCTGTGCATTTGGTTTTGGATCTCACTGGTGATCTCTTGCCCAATTTTTTTATTGTTTGTTTTGATCTAGAGGCCCCGTCCATTGTCTTTTAAACAATCATCAGTGTTATATAACAAAAATTAGATTTTATTCCAATTTTCAGAAAATTTCCCTCTTTGGTATGAAGTCATACATTTATATATATACCGCCGTCAGAGTTATTCTATTTAACTTTTTAATGGATATTCGCACTTCAATCATAAGTTAGTAAAATTAGAGTAGTATCAAGTGGAATTAGTGTAGCCAAAAATTTACAACTTCTTATTTCCAGGATGACACCGGTAGCCAACGCAAATAAACCAGCAAACATAAATGATGCGTTGAGCCCAGAGGCACTGAACGCGAGATCGGAAAATTGGAATATACAAACCTCATCTTATGATCTATCTTATGAAAGTGAAGAAGAAGTTGAGGAAGAAGAATTTTTCAAAGAACCCTCCTATGAAATATATGAGCCTCCGCCTCCTGAAGAAAGGGACATTGGAAAAATCATAAAGGATTCCTTTGGCTTTTATAGAGTATGCGAAAACAGCATATTTCAACATATATATATATGTTAAGGAGACCGAAGTACTTGGCTCCAACTTTTTTCTTAATTTTAGGTTTTGTAATAAATTAAGATTAGGAAAACCTCCAAAACAGAAACTTTCATTATTAGTATTTATTATTAGAAATATCTGTAACCTCATCTGTAACAGCGTACTTCTCACACAGGGTGAATTGGCTGGTCATGAGATATTTTGTAGCTTAATTTGATCTTGGTAAGGCTAAAGCGATTACATACCCATGAACCGTGTTTATTTTATCAAAGCATTTAAAGATTGATGTACTTTTTTTTTCATCTCCAGAGCCTGAAATTTCATTCACGGCGAAAAAATATCAGAAATAGGCCCTCGACTTCTTTTTCAACGGAAGTCTTATATGTGCTCAACGCTGACAGCTTGAATACTGAATCCACTGGTAGTTTCTTTGGGTAGGGTTAGAGTCATCTAAGATACAAAGCATCCCATATAGCCAGAATTTCCCTAATCTATAGTCAAGTGTTTTTTTTTTTGGTCGCTGAAGAAGAATCTGAGAATGCGATGTAAACGGGGCCAAATTACGAAGTGCCTTTTGTGGTATTAAATTAGTTTTCTTACTTATAGCAGTACTTTCGTTCCACGAGGATGCAATATTAAACAAAATGTTCAAAAGGCGAGAAAAAAAATCTTAATATCAGCTATGCTTAGGCAACTTTGATATTTCTGTACGATGGAGTGAAGTATTGACAAGTTCTCTGATCTCTAGCTTAGTCAAACTGAATTGTTATGTGAACTAACTCAACTTTAATATAATTCGTGAAACACTATACCACATTGTAATGGAATGTGATACTTACGAATCTCACAGAAGAAAAGTTTTTCAATCCTTAAAAGATAACAACATCGCTTATAAACAAATTCTGTCAATGAGCAGCATTGAACAGATAAGCAATGTGGTAAAATATTTTAAAACAAATAGGAAATATATTTAGTTTATTATGACCTAACAACTTCAACCTAAAATTTATCTGGCTGTGTGGATTTATCCAATGCCGTTGATAAAAAAAAAAGAGAGAAAAATATAAACTCCCAACCTACCAATATATCAAACCTTGCACCGGCCTTCTCTAATCCTTGTAAAAAATGGTTGTCGAGAAATCAAACTTTGTAGCAGGATTCGAAGTGAGATTTCCTCCCAAAGATATTGTTTTATTTATATTATATTGTGGATTTTCACACACACTAGACAATTGCTTGGGCGCCAATTTTCGGAAAGTGACAAATTTCGAACAAAATCATTTCTCGCGAATTCGTGAGTGTCAAAACAACTCTAATAAACATACATACATATAAAATGGACGATGGTATTGGGGAAGATGAAGGAAAAAGTACTTCTAAAAAAGATTGAAAAAATCGATAATCAATTTTAGCAGGAAAAAAAGTCTCCGTCCCCTACAAAATAAAATTCTGAATATGCTACTGATGTCAGGGATATGAAACTCATCTCAGAGCTCTCTAATAAAGCTCTTATAGTAAGCATTGGTTATTTATTGAAGCCAATATTTCTTTCTGTTAATGTTTAATAATGTTAAAATTATTATAAATTAACTCACAACGTTTAAAAGGTGATTATATATATACATAAAAAAAAAATGAGATATCAGATGACAGTGATACAAATTGTAAAATATCTACGGGACGTTAGCATCGGTGAAATGATTGCACTGAATACGTTTTTTTTTTTTCTTTTTTTTTTACTGGGCGGGAAACCTATGTATTTATCATCGCCCGTTTTTTGGATTTTCCGTCAACTTGATAGAGTTTCAGAACTTATTGTGAAGTCCCATCTCTTTTAAAAATTTGGTTAATTTGTTCAGGTAACTGCAATCCTCATCACTGGCGGATTCAAGATTTAATTTTGGGGAAGGGGAGCTTCAGCCCGAAAGATTTTTTTTTCATGTATATATATAACTATAATTAATTTGAAAAAAAAAAGAAAGAAAATAATTACCTACATAAAATACTGTTGTTCTTGAAATCCTATTAAATGTAATTACACGAACATGAATACTTTAAGAGATATTTTTTATATTTTTTTATGTAAAATATGGTTATATTTTACAATTTTGGGGAGGGGGAGGCTTTAGCCGGAAAGCCCTCCTAACCTCCCCCTCCCTCTCCCCCACTCACCCGTAGATCCGCCTGTAGGCCTCTCTTAGAGTCTTGGCGAGGGATCTAGGAATGCCTAAGTAGGCCATTTTTCTGCTATATTTAAGACAGTCTTCGAATATGTGCTTTATTGTGAGGGCTGTTTGGTAATCCTGGCCATTTGGAGTTGGCTGTTTTGTCTTGAACCAGCCGTGAGTGAGGCGCCTATGTCCAATACGCGAGTAAATACCACTCCGTCTCTTCTTGACTGTCTGGAGCATGTCCACTTCTTCAATGATGGTTTGACCAGTCTAAGCTTATTTGGCATTAAATTAATATTTACAATTATGTATTAATATTTTTATAAAATCAAGTTGGCTAATTTGTTTTTAAGGAAGGCTTCTTCAATAATTACCATTATATTATATTTTTACTTTTAGAAAGAGGACCTGTCGGAAGCAGAGCTCGGCCGCCATAGGGTAACAGAAGAAGTGGTTTACAGATACACCCTGTGTAACGCCAACGGTATGATGGTCCAGGTCATAACGCTGGGTGCCGCCATCACAGCTATAAGGATGCCTGATAATAAGGGCGTCATCACGGATGTAACGCTGGGTCTCAACGATCTCGACGGTACGTCCTCTTCGTAAACCGTAAGCTCTTACATTCCATAATTATTTAAAATAAATGAGTAGTGGATAATTAATTAAATTAGTTAGTTTGCGAGATGAGTCGTCAAGGAAAATAAAGAGATACTCAATTTTAACAGCTTTGAGGATCAAGGGTCATTCTGAGGAAATGATACAAAATCTCTCAGAATTTCACTCACATCGTGTCTTTGTCAACGCAAGAGTTTAAAGTTTCTTTATACCAATTTAGAATTTTCGAAAAAAAAAAAGAAGAAAAAAGTAATACGTCGTTCTTGTTAATAGCCTTTATTACTAAGGCTCCATGTCATTCTAAAGAAGTGAACCTACTTACGCCTGATTTTGAGTGCTTGTAGAGATGACCATCCATATTTATATTATTATTTATTATATTATTATATATTATATATTTATATATAGGGGCTGGGGTAGCGGTACGGGCTAAGGCGCTTGCAATAGGTAATCAAAGTTATGTGAGGCCCGTCAGCCTATTGTAGGCAACTCACACCGACCGGGCGTAGGACTGATGACCCTACCCCGTGTACTTAAATCGGTAAACGGGATGTGGTTTACCAGGATGTTAATAGCCCCCCTGATGTTCGGTCCATGGACGGTCTGTTTCGGGAAAAGAAATATAGGTCCTGGTGCGCCTGCTGACTCCGAGCAGCCATAATCCATGGATCTAGACCGATTTGTCAGCCGAGAAATCCTCGGGTTCAAGGATAGCAAACTGATTTGCTATCCTTGAACCCGAGAAAGTCGGTGGAAAGAACATTGCCAGATTGGCCCCTAAGGGATCGGCTATGGAGCTACGTGTAGCCTGTCGCTACACCATGGAAATCATGATTCGTAGCAACGTGAGGTTGGGTGACCCCCTCCAGGCTATCTGAGCTCCCGCCAGCAACATGCGTCTGTAAGGAGACCACATCTCGCGGCCAAAGATCTTCATGGTCTGTAGAGCCAACCGAAAAAAAAAATGTATATATATCCATATCCATATTTTCATTCCAATATTCGATATTTTCCCATCGACAGTATTATTAACTATCGATATCGTACATTCGATATTTTAATTTTAAAATAAAAATTTAAACTATCGTTTTCGGAAAACTTCAGGTATTATATATGAATCTCATCATGAGAAAAAAATTATATTCATCTTGCCTGTTTTATATAGAATGTAGTGCGTAGTAGGGAAAATATCGACTATTATATATATATATATATATATATATCGACCGATTTATATATATCGACTATTATATATATATATATATATATATATATATATATATATATATATATATATATATATATATATATATATATATATATATATATACTCTCAATTTGCCCAAATGTGTTAGTTAAAACCTTCTCAAACCAAGGACACGAATTTTCAAAGAAATCTATGAGTGATGCAAATAAATTAGCTTTTCGGTAAATCCGATCTACGGATCAGTAGAAGGCATAAATGGTTGAATAGAAATTTTTGGGTAAAAAAGCTGAGGATGACGAAGATGGACAGAAACTAGATAATTAATTTTACTAAGGTAAAAGGTAGAAGAATCGATATTTCAATTGCTAAAGAATCAATATTTATATCTATATTCATATTTTTAAACATGTTTAAAACATCCACTATTATTATTTCAATATTTAGATGGTACCGACAGTTATAAGCCTATATTATTACATATCGATATTGAACCTTCAATATCACACCTCTAGCTTGTAGCCGTTCATCCTGACTCCTGCAGATATCTTCCAACCCGGAGATATTGATGAAGTATAATCCATTGTATCACGGGCGGATCTAGGGGAGAGGGCGATTCGGTGCTGAAGCCTCCTAATTTATTTTTTTTTAAATTATCTCTTAAAGTATTATTGTCCGTTTAATTACATTTAAAAGTACTTCAGCTATCACTTAAACACCATTTCATATAGGTAGTTAGCATCTTTCTTTTTTTCCAATGTAATTGTCTTTATTTTTATGAAAAAAAGTTATCGGGCTGAAGCCCCCTCTCCACAAAAAAATAAATCCTGGATCCGCTAGTGCATTGTATAAAGAGTAAATTTTGGAGAAATAAATATTTATAGATATAAATATTTATAGAAATAAATATATATACAGTAAAAACTTTTCTAACGTGTATTTATGAAAAGTATTCACACTTATTTGTTTGGTTTGGCTGTTATAACCACCTAACAAGTATTTTTTTTTTTTTTTTGTAAAATCAGTTGTTATCAGGAAATTCATTGTAAATTTCTAATATTGAGAAATGTTCAGTCGCATTAGAGTAATTTTGACATTTATGGAGGAAAAAAACATGACGTTTCTCATATATCATATATGAGCATATCGACAACGGTTTGAGATATGAAGGAAAGTGTGGTTTGAACTATATTTTGAGTTTACTGTCCCTCCTTACTGACATTTCCTCCTCCCCTATACTCTACCTAGATGTATCTTTCTAACACCTATATTTATTACGGACGTTTGGATAATTTTCTTAGCGACAAAATTAGAAACATAGAAGATTTTATATTTTAATGAAGGCACTTTTAAGTTCATCGAAACCCCATAGCGCAACTTCGATTACCCAGATAGGCCTAATTATAGAAATATAAATGAGTATTTTGTTATAAAAAGGAATTAGAGTATTTAATCAGATGTGCTGAAAACAGTCGGTAGCAACGAAGAGCTTGATTAAACGAGCTAAACCTAATATTTTTTAGTTTCAACCCTGTTTATTAGGGTTTTTAAAAATTAAATGGAGCCTACGGACATTAACAAGGATTCCATTCGACTTAATAGGTTTTTAGGAGTGGCACATATACATTGGTCATGGCATTATTCTTAAGTTATTCAAATTTCCGATCGTGCTCCTGAACGAAATTACCATAAGTATTCTAAAGGGGAGCCTAAGCACCCCGCTGTATATATGACGTCACACTTCAGGTCGATAACCCAAGAAACTATAAATTCCAAAGCATCATTAAAGGTTGTGAAACTATCAGCTTCCGTTACATTCATGAATGATTCCTCACAACTTTCGTTTTCATTTCCTAGGGTTCCTGCTACTTCTTTTAAATAAGTAGTTGTATTCAAAAAAAAAAATAAAGAGTAATGCACGGTTTTGGAAAAGGGGCAACGACGATTTGTGGAATCTGTGAAGTAGTACTAGCTTTAAGTAGAAATTTTGTGATTTATTCAAAGAAAACGTTTAGTCATTCACCGTTATAATATCATCTCAGCATTGAATTAGGAATAGTCAGTCGTCAACAATTTGAGACCTTTCAAAATGGCGCCTAATAAAGGGAGGATACAAATAAGTAAAAATTTAATTTTTAGAATATGATTTTTTTCAAGTCTACAAGAAACTGCAAAAAATATCTGCCAAAGTTGGGAGGGCTCTTCACACAGGCAGACAAAATTCACGTTTTTTGCACTTTTCCAAATATCAAGAAAACAACTGCTCCTAATAAGATAATTACTACTAACTATTTTGTAATAGATTTAGCTCCAATTTCAACCCTGAAAGAGCACTTGACGTTTAATAGTTCAAGAAAAACGGTCTTAAAAAAAATAAAATGTCTTCTTAAATTTATAATAATTAAAGAGCTAATTTATAATAATCTTAGCAGTTCCCCATAGTATTTACGACGAAAATAATTTTTATAAATTACTTCTAAGAATGCAGTTTATATGATGTTTACTAAAATAAACTCCAAAAGTCATGATTGCTGATGTTTTTAGATTTTTGAAATACAATTTCTCTTGAACTATTGAACATAAAGAGCACTGCAAGGGCTCAAATCGAAGCTGAAATAAATCAACTACAAATTTCTTATGTTAATTATATTCACATGACCAGCTGTTTCCTTGATATTTACATAAGTACACTATCGGGGAAAAAATAAAAACATGAATTTTGAATTTTATCTGATCATACAATATGCCCCCCTCCAACTTTACTAAAACGATGCTTGAATCATTATTGTGCTAATGAAGAATAATGATTTTTTTCTCACAGGGTAATTGATTAGTTATACTGTATGATAACATTTAAAAAATGTTGGTGTAATTTATATTTTCAAGGAAGGAGATGGTCCGGGGTTGCGGTCATAAAAAGGCTAAATAGTGGTAAAACTATTTTATTGAAAGCCAACGTTTCGACCCGACTTTGCAGGTCTTCATCAGGGAGGTGTGTTCCTCTAGGAGTTTCACTTAGAACTGGACAGTTCTAAGTGAAACTCCTAGAGGAACAAACCTAGAATAATTTGGACAGTTCTAAGTGAAACTCCTAGAGGAACAAACCTCCCTGATGAAGACCTGCAAAGTCGGGTCGAAACGTTGGCTTTCAATAAAATAGTTTTACCACTATTTAGCCTTTTTATGACCGCAACCCCGGACCATCTCCTTCCTTTATAACGCAACAGTCAACCATTAAATATTCAATTTATATTTTCGTTTGCAGACTATCAGTCAGAGAAAAATGAGCTATGCTTTGGTTCATTAATGGGTCGTTTCAACTCATTTATATCTAATGGTGAAATAAGAATAGGTAAAAAAGATTATAGTCTGTCCACAAATGTGAAAGGTATTCACCATGAGAAAGGAGGCCACATTGGATTCGACAAGGTTAATTGTAATGTTTTATTTATAAAATTATGTTACAACAATTGTTATTTTATATTTAATAATTATTAAATAATCCATATAATATTATTCTTAATATTGCTGATAAATGCAAAATGTGTAGGCTTAATTTTTCTGAACCAATTCCTTCAACCAATTCAATAACTGAAAAAGATATAACGTGACATAAAACTAAGTAACCAATGAGCTCCCAATTATCTTAGGAATGTTCTGGCATGTTTCAACAGTCTAGAGCATCCTAAGTGCAATTAACAAAAATGTATCTACCAACAGTGTTAATATCTGAAAATCTAATAATAATAGTAAAATATTCAAACCCTAACAATATATGTATATATATATATATATATATATATATATATATATATATATATATATATATATATATATATATATATATATATATATAAATAATGATACCCCAATTAAGTTATATTAATATAAGGTTAAATGTGAGAGAATTCTTGTACCAGGCTTTTCCCATACAAGTTTATATTTAAATATAACTACTACTAACTTACCTGGTTTTCATTAAAAAAATAATTTTTTTTTTTTATCTTTCTTTATTGAATATTAATACATTCTGCCACATTGAAGGGCAAAAAAAATAAATAAAAATTAAATAACTGTGGCTTGTCGGTGAGAAGGGATAAGCTTCAGAATGCACCATTTGAGCAACAGAAACAGATTTAAAAATATACATATTAATATATTAAAGTAGGATACATAGATAGATAGATAGATAGATAAAAGATAACTTTATTCTGGGACAAAGTCGCTTTAGAATAATAAATTAAAATATTACACCTGGCATAAATAAAGACAAAAAGAAAGAGAAAAAGTAAAGAAAACATTAGTTAAACATAATATATACAAACCAAATAAAGCTATATACAAAACACTTACAACTATGACAAGATACTTAAAACTATGTACAGTGTTAAAGCACTTTTAAGAAAAAATAAATAAAGAAAGAAAAAATACATTAAGTTCTTCTTTAAAATACATCATAATAATTTCTTAACATAAGTATAGGTACAAATTTAATTCTATAAACAAATCAAAAATAATAATAAAAACAAACAATAGATACATTCAGTGGCATCAGGGCTAGAAAAATCTTGTAATATCCCCAGCATAAATATCGATAAGGAACATAAGAAAGATAATATTCTTTCTTCTATAGATAATATCAGAATGACCATCTTTGCTAGATTTTGTTCATTGTCAGATGTTAGCTGCTGTTTGAAATCTGTAGTTGTACATAGAGATAATAATCATAATAAGGTAGAAATAATTCTGGGAATAAGAAGTGTGATGTCATTCATTATAGTATGTCCTGCTTTGTACATCTAAATTATAATATGACACATTCCCTAAAAACTAAAAAAAAAAAAAAAAGAAATATACATACCTCTTTATTATATAAACATTTCTTATGCATTACATATAACATTTTAAGCACCATTAAGGATATCATTTATAGCATATTGTGATTTATTATAAAAGTAATAGTTTTTACTATTGTTATTACCATAATAATGGATGATTTTCTATTTGAATTCTCTTACAGGTACTTTGGGAATCCTATGTCGCATACGACAGAGTAATAATGACTCATGTTAGTCCTCATTTGGATGAGGGTTATCCTGGAGATTTAATGGTTCAAATATCATTCCACTTAACAAAAGATAACTGTTTGGTTGTAAATACTACTGCCACAACTTCTCAGCCGACCATTATAAGTTTAGGACACAATTTATACTTTAATATGGCTGGGCACGTATGTATTATTCATATTTTATTTTTTTACAATGATAAAACTGTAAATTAATATAAACATTTTTTTTTTTTCCTCTCCTCACTCACCTTTTAGGCATACAGAGTTTTTCCAGAGCCAGGGGGTGAGGGCAGGGAATTTAAAATCCTTTCTGTCAGTGGAAAGGATTTTATATCTTTTTTTTTTATATCTCATAACTGGTTATCTGATTAGCGGACAACTCCCGGTGCTGTGCATTAGCCCATTCGGCAACTCCGTCCCCAATCTTTTTTTTTTTTTCTTCTTTTTTTTGTCCTCCCCTTCCTCGCTGTAACGGCTATACGGGGTTTTCCCGGGCCAGGGAATGTGGGCGGGGATTTAAAAGACTCCCTTGTCACTGGGATCCGCCCCAATCTGTCAAACCATACATTTCAACTAGTTTCACTGATTTATTACAATATGGCTACCTTATTTTTTATATTTTGGTTCCCACCTAATATCTCCTTTCCAGAAACAGCATCAATTTCTTGAAAAAAGTCGCTAAGAATATTTTTAATGGAGCTATTAAGAGTTTTTGTGAATTTCAACATTATTTATTTGTTCAAAAATAAACTTAGTAAAAATGCCATAAATATATCATTTATAGTTACAATAAGTGCACAATGTTTAGACATCTCAGAGAGAAAATTCATCAAAGTACTTTGTGATGTAATTTTATGAAATGTTACTTTATGACTTTTTTCAATAAAGTGACGATAAAGTCTTTTAGTCTGCTTAGTGTCTTATTACATTATATATCACGATTGCAGAGGTTCCAGAGGAAATTCAAACAATGTAATATATATATTTTATATAGAAACTACCGACCACCCTGCCAGAGTATATTAGATAGATATATATTTGATATTGGAGTTTTTGTGTAATGATATCTTGTTTGCCAATTCACTTAAATAACCTATATGGTGGCAGAGGTTAATGAATTAAAATTAAGTCCCAGATTAGATAGAAGTGAAGGCAATAGCTCCATTTTTTATTTATTTATATAAGCATTGGCTAAAACGGAAGAAAGGGAGGGATGTTTCTAGTCAAACATGTCTTTATTTCTTGTCATAATATGATAAGTTATGTTTTCCTAATAAAGAATTATTGAGAAAACCAAATTTGTGTTAGAATTATTTTGACATTAATTCACTTTAAGTAAATAAATTATGTATACAAAATCAAACCAGTGAGAATATTTACAAAATACTACAATTATATACAATACAAATGAGAAAACTATGAAACAAAATAATCGCTGCATAGTTAAAAAGATTAGAGAATATAATAATCAAAAGAAATATATTAAAAAAGGAAAAAAAAAAATACAGTAGTATACAACATAAGGTCCTCTAATAAATGAGCAACACATCTATGAATAAAAGGAAATTTCAGTTCATATTGAAATATATACATAAACCATGTTATCAAAAGAAAGATGGTGTGAAAAAAAATATAAACATATACATGCATATATTATGTATAAAAGATCAAAAGTAATACATACAAAAAACAAATAAATTAAGATAAAAAATACTGTTTTTACATTATTACTTAATATGTGGTTAGCCTTTTTCTGACTGTTGCAAGAACAGGAGGGTTTTCAAAGACGATAGGGAAGGAGCATGTTGAATTTTTAGAGGTAAGGAATTCCAGAATGAAACAGAGCAGATTATGAAGGAGTTTTGAAAAGAGCCAGATCTGTGATAAGGGGTATAAAGTTCTGATGGTCGAGATCTTGTGGTGAGAGAGTGGACAGAGGACTTGAATTGGAGAAGATCATAGGTATAGGAGGGGCTGTTGATAATTTTGATAGATAATGTGCCTAGAAAATATTGTCTACGGAAGGAAGGGAAGAGCCACCCTAACTCGGTGTAGTGGTGGGAGACACGGGAACGTCTTGGGGTCCCAATGACAAAGCTATTCGTAAGTCTCCTCAGACGATCCCCAAGACCCACTGAGGGACCGCCTTACATCACACAGCTGTAGTCAAACTGGGGGAAGATGAGAGAGGAAACTAGGAGTCTCCGGGTAGGTTCTGGTAGATGATGGCGGAAGCGATGGAATAATTTGTGAATGGAAATCGATCGTCGAGCGATGTGGGAAATGTGGTAATTCCAGGTTCATTATTTTCATGGTAGTAAATAGTTCATTATTTTAAATGGAACCCTCAATAGTCTAGATATTTGATGATTAAACAATTTGGTGATTCTATATTTATCGGATTAAGAAGATTGGAGTGGTATATTTTATAAAATAGTTAGGAAAGAATTTCTACTTAACTAGATCTTAAAATTGGACTTGCTCAAGGATTTTGATAAAATTAAGCATATTCAGAAAAATACATAGCATTTCATTTCTTCATTTTTATAACATAGATGTTTTAAGAAGACATTGTTATTTATCAGTGCAGGTGCAGGAGATTCACTTTCCTTTTCTTATTTTTATTATTTTTTTATTTATTAATTTTTTTATGTCTCACAGTATTTTATTGTTTATATCTGTGTTAGTATGTTTTGTAGATATTTATATTTTCCTTGATACTTCTATTTTTTTTATATATATTAGTATTTTTCTTAGTATCTTTGTGTATATATATATATATATATATATATATATATATATATATGTGCTTACAATTTCCTAGGTATGTTTTGTATATATTTGTATAATACTTATATACCAGACTAATGTATATATTTTGTGAACTCTACTATGATTCTAAGGGGACTTCTGTCCCAGAATAAAATTATTTTTCATTTCATTTCATTTCCTTTTGAAGTATTACATAACATGAATCAATATTTAGATTTCATCCTTTTGTTGCATTTGACACAATATTTATGGCAATTCGTTCAAACACGAATAAAAATAAAAAATTTTCAATTTAAAATAACATACAAATACACTATTTTGTTCATTAATCCTTTTTTCATTAGGAAACTGGCCCTGAAGGCTTAAGAGAACAGAGTATCCTGGTCAATGCTGACAAGTTTGTTAAAGTTGACAAGGAAAACATACCAACAGGTATTTGTTTAGTATAGGTAAAATGAAATTATGTTGTATTTGTTGTCAAATGAATTTGTTATTGAATATCAGCAGTTAAGCATACATGTGGAATGCGCAGGGGTTCTAGAGAATGTTGGAGCAACGTACTTTGACCTACGAGTTCCCCGTCCCCTGTGGAAAGCTATTGCTAAACTGCCGGGTGGGGGCTATGATCATGTCTTCTGCTTAACTAAAGGCTACCCTAGGGAAAGTGTTTCTTTTGCTTGCAGGTAATAGCAAATATTTTCATTTTTTGCTCTTTCAAATTTAGTTTAATTGTTAAATTTTGTTTTTATAACATATCACATTTGCTTTTAATACACTGACAGGCAAAAAATTTCACCCACTTGATTTTTTCATGTTTTCATCTAAAATTATTTCTGCTTTGGATTGGTCTATTGTTTTTAATGAATAAATAGGTAATCTTTTTGTTTGTTTTCAATTAGGAATGTTATAAAGAGGACAATAACCCTTAATCCTTAATTCAATGAAATGATTCTAGATTCCAATGTTTACTTTCTGTGGAATCAAAATGTTTATTCAGTATCATTAGTACAGTGCCGTTTCTTGCAGCACATTTCTTAGTCTCCGGCTTTTAATTTTTTCAATATTAAGTTTAAATATGTGAGGATGTTGAGAGTGCTGAGGATGTTGCGTGTGGTGTGGCACTTATTGATGATGGACGTTCCATTAGATATGCAGCTAATGCCATCGGAGTTCCATATGAAACTTTATGAGATGCCATCAGGCGTTTTCGGGAAACTGGTTCTTACAATAGAAGGCCCGGTTCTGGACGGCCTAGGGTAACAGAACCACGGGATGACTGGTTTTTGACTTTGAGAATTTTACGAAACCGGCACCTTACCGTTGTTCAAGCGATTCATCAGCTCGAAGAAGTTCGAGGTGTGCAAATTTCTGAATGTACCGCTCAGAGAAGATTAAATGAGTATGGATTAATGGCTTTTCGTCCAGTAAGAGGACCAGAGTTGACCAGAACTCACAGAGTAACACGACTGACTTTTGCTCGAGAACACAGCCATTGGACTATGGACGAATGGAGTGCTGTACTTTTTAAAGATGAGTCAAGATTCGCTCTTCGATCTCCAGACAGGCGTGAAAGGGTGTGGAGAAGAAGCCCAGAGCCAACCTTTCCAATGTGGTTCCTTAATGGTGTGGGCTGGGATTTCAATAGAGCGCCACACAGAATTGGTTGTTGTTCGTGGAGGGTCTTTGATGGCCATTCGCTATGTAGATGAGATTTTGGAACTTCATGTGTTGCCTATCCTCAACGAAATCGGCGTTCGTTCTATTCTAATGCATGATAATGCACGCCCACATGTCGCCTGCATAGTGCAGACGTTCCTTCAACAGAACAATATTGAGGTTTTAGCCTGGCCAGCACGTTCTCCAGATTTGAACCACATTGAGCATTTATGGGATAACCTCGGAAGACGAATAAGAGCGCATGCAACACTTCCTGATACACTGCAGGACCTTGAAAGGGCTCTTCTGGAGGAATGGGCTATCCTCCAGCAAAGGGACATTTCCCGACTGGTGGAAAGTATGCCGAAGCATCTTCAAGAAGTAGTGAAGGCAAGAGGAGGAAACACGCTCTACTAAACAATGATGTAATTAATTTATTTTAGAATAATAATGGTTCGTTTTTCAATTTTTTTTTTCTAATCTTTCTTACCCAATCACATTTTGATTATTAAAGGTAAAAAAGATTATAAAATTCCATAAATACTAAGTATTATTTACAAATACCATGTATTATAAATAAATACAACTTTTTTTACAAGTGGCAGAAATATTTTTAGATGAAAACATGAAAAAATCGAGTGGGTGGAATTTTTTGCCTGTCAGTGTACTTTACATATCATAATAATATTTATGTAATCATGGATCTCATTACATCCTTACACATTTTACTTTAATAAAATTATTGCTATTCAGTTGAAAAATATTTTTATACAATAAGAAAACTTTTAAAAAATCAATATAAATAATTGTGTTTAATTTATTTATATTTTATCATAATACATATCAATCAGTAAATCTGTGTTGGCTGTTCTATGATGATTGTGTTTCTTTTATACTATTTATCAAAAATAGTATTTTTAATGACTATAATTAATCATTTTAAGATATCTTACAATAGCTATTGAATTTTATCTATTGTAAGCAAATTAAACACAGCCAAACTTCCGTACAGGTTGTCCCCTAAGTAGAGGGGTATATTTAACAAGTTGATAGTAGACATCAAGATCTACAAACAAGTTCATATAAACAATTGCCCAATTTCCAACAGAAAAGTAGGCAATTTAAGATTTGTGTTTTTTTAAGCGAGTCACGTTTTTTTTTTTTAATAGAAAGCGATAACGTAAAAAATATTTGATTTCAGTAATTAAACATTTCTCGATAGTAAACTAGACAAAAATTTACTTTAAACAAAAGTAGAGTTTGTCATAGTTAAAACTATTTAAAGAGCCCCCTTGAGCGGCTTAATACAGCTATGTTCCGTTTAAAAAAAGTCATAACTTATTTGTGATTTTTTGTTTTATCACTCTTGAATTATACTACAAATACTCCACTTTTACAAAAACTTCCTCGTTTAATAATTTTTAAGTCCATATTAATTAAGTTGAGGTTTATTAGGAAAAAAGTTTGAGATTCACCTCAAGTTGTTTAAAAAACTGACTTGATTTCCTATCCAGTCACTTTAAAGCACCTGCGTTTTCTGCAAAAATGACTACAATTAAGTGTTGTAAAGCTTTTATTTCTTGTTTTTTTGTGATATGGGATGTATTGTAATAAACATAATTGCCTATAAACACATTTTAGTTATAAATATAAAAAAACTTAAAAATTATGATTTTTAAATATTTTTCACATAAAGTGGTTATGAAATTGTGATTGTTCCTCCCATATCTCCGTCATAGGAATTGATATGTATTTATCAGTGACAAACTTAATGTTTCTTGCTGCAATTTAAGTTTAAAATATAGAAACCTACCGATTGCTTCATTATTTTCATGAAAACATAAATATTAGGGTTAGAAGCATTAAGTTTGTCACTTATAAATATACATCAATTCTTATGACAGAAATCTGGAAGAAAAACACAATTCATAACCACCTTATATGAACGATATTTAAAAAAAATCATAATTTTTAAATTTTTATAAATAAAATGTGTTTTTAGACAATTATGTTGGACTATTTTATGTCATTCCAAATTTCCAGTACGGGTTCAAAGAGCATCATTCGACTATTCAGCAATGTTACCGCCTTGTAGATTACATATCTTTCAAAATTGTACTGTCCTGGCAATTTTTCTTGACATGAGTCAGACTTTTGATAGAATATAGCACGATGGCTTGTTACATAAATTAAAAACGATTATTCCTCTGACGTATTACTTAATTTTACTATCATATTTAAAAGATAGATTTTTCCGTGTGAAAATGGGGACTGAGTTTTCTGCCATCAAACAAATAAAAGCTGGAGTATCTCAAAGCAGTGTCTTGGGTCCAACACTTTTCAACATTTACTGTTCAGGCATCCCACAACATTCTGAAACACTGTTGGCTGCATTTGCTGATGACTCGGCAATGTTAACGTCTAACAAGAATGCAGCTAAGGCTTTGCAGGTACTTCCAGAACACCTAGACGACATAGCTTGTTGGGCTAAAAGGTGGAGAATAAAAATGAACGAGTCTACGAGCCAATTCGTTTCATTTACACTTAAACATGACTCTTGTCCTCCAGTGTTCTTTAATAATATTGCTCTACCACCTTCAAAAACTGTACGATATTTGGGTCTCCACTTGGACAAACCACATAAAACAAAAAAGGAAAGAACTTAATCAGCGATATGGACCTCTTTCTAGGCTACTTGACAGACGTTCTAAATTATCTGTGACTAATAAATTAACTATTTACAAAGTCCTCATTAAACCACTTTGGACATATGGGATCAAACTATGGGGGACATCAAAGAAATCAAATATAAAAATCATCCAGTCATTCCAGTCAAAAGTCCTTCAGAAAATTGTAGACACGCCCTGTTATGTTTCAAACCTCACGTTACACACTGACCTTAACACTCCTTTCATCGCAACAACTGCCACTGACCGCTTTATTAATTTTCATAACAGACTGACTCTAAATTCCAATCCACTTACTCAAGCTCTATGTACTGCCACAAATCCATATAATCCATCCAGAAGACTGCTGAGGCGCTGGCCAAGAGACTTATTGCATTGAGCTACTTGCTGCATTTTCTTTTTTTGTGTGTGTGTGTTTGTTATTATGTATGTGTTATTTTACTACTGTTTTTTTTTTTTTTTTTTTGTGTCTTTTTGTTTTGTTATTACTATTCTTTATTTTTTTTATGCTATCATTTCTTCTCGTTGATATCATATTTGCTGAATACCGAGGTAGATGGCAAATTTATTGTGAGCCAAGAATATGTATAACTAATAATAAATCTCATGTTTATTACAATACATCCCAGATCATGGAAAAACAAGAAATAAAAGCTCTGAAGCAGTTAATTGTAGCCACTTTTCCAGAAAAGGAGAGGTACTTTAAGGTGACTGGATAGGAAATCATATCATTTCTTTACACAACTTGAAGTGAATCTCAATTTTTTTCCTAATGAACATCAAATTAATTAACATAAAGCTTATTAAACGAGGAAGTTTTTGTAAAAGTGGGATAAATTTGATTCAGATGATGGGTGATAAAAAAAAAATCACAAATAATTCATGACTTTTTTTTAAACGGAACATAGGTGTATTTATCAAAAGTGCTCTTTAAATAGTTTTAACTATGACAAACTCTACTTTCTTTTAAATTTATTTTGTCCTTCAGTGTGGCAGGCAGTATTAATACTCAATCAAATAAAAAAAAAATAAAAAATATTCATGTTTAGCTCAAAGAGTAATCTTATTTCAGGATATGTTAACATAGTCTAAACAACAATGCATCAAAGTTTCTTTGATCGAAAGCTATTACTATTATATGAGTCATTTATTTCCATAATGAATTCTAATCATCAACAACAGTTTTCCAAGAAACGCAAAAACTATATATTTTCAATTTTCAGTTAAGAAAAACACTGATTATTGTAATCAATTTAAAAAGCATTGAAACTTAAATAGAATCTCTTTTGGAAATAATTAAACTTCATGGCTCATTTTTGACTGGGGTTTGTTTTGAAGAGAGAAAATGAAGGGGGAGTTACAAAAATTGTACTATAAAAAATTAACTTTTTGTTTATGATAATGATACGATAAAATAAATTTATTGTTAATTTTCATTTGAATAAAATTGTTAAAAAAACTTTGGATGATTTATTTTTTAAAGAATTCTTAAAAAATGCAAATTACATTACTTTTCTAAGAAAAAAAAAACAGTTTCAAAAATAAACTTATTTTTTCACCACTTTGTTATTATTGGTTCATTTTGAAAAAAAAAATGTATTTGCACCATCAGATTGGTTATTTTTACACGAGAATCGATACTTTGTTAATTTTCATAAAAAAATGATCAGGATTCACTTTGGAAATAAGCGCTTCATATTTAATGACCTAATATTTTTATTTTTAAGATGTTAAATCTTTATTTCCTAATATTTTGTGTTGATGATAGGCTCGTACACCCTCCGTCTGGAAGGTATTTAGAAATTATGACTGATATGCCAGGTCTTTATATCAACACTGGAAGGAATTTGCCAAATACAGAAGCTTTACCACCACTGGAGGCCCAAACAGGTTTTAGTGAGGAAGTTTATCCTGAATTTTGTAGAGAAGAGAAAATGAAAGAGAAAGAGGTATGGAAAAAATTGATATAATGAAATGTTATAGCTCACCTAAAACATGGAAGCTGAAAGTAACATTTTGGTTTTCCCTAATTCTCGGATATTAGTTAAATAGTATTAACAAATATTTTCATCGATTAGATGATTACAATATCATCTTTCACAGGATATTTATATTTTAAATACTCCTTAAGTCATATAGCAGGATTATGGAAAAACAAAATTTTCTTTTCTTTTATTGCTGCTTGAGTTCGCTCTCAGGCTGCCAACTAATTGTGATGTATATATAGTTCAATCCTAACAAAACAACCATTTTACCAAGAAAATAAAATGAAGTCTTTATGAAAGATGTTCTATGAATTTAATCCAATCATTGCATTCAAATTATATAGCTAACGTTAACTAACGTTGTACAATATTGGGGGACCTGGTACCTGCTTTATGATTTGGAGCTCTTTTCTTTTAAAATAAAAAAAAATGAAAATTTTGATGGAGGAATATCTGTGAATGATGCTACTTGTTATTTTGTTAATTTCCTTTTATTGTAATTCCAATTGATCTCCCTGAAGGTGCAATTAATTTTAATTGGTTATTATATGGAGCATTAATGTAACATAAAATTGTTTGTGGAGGACTGGTAGATTTCCCAATCCGTAGATTTGTTGCCTCCTCAATTTTTCTTCTGTCTTTAGTTCAATATAGTGATGAAATGTTGAATTTAAATCATTTTAAATAAATTAACGAATGAGTGTCAAGCAGATGCAAATAATGCTCATGGAATGATTGAGAAATAATATTAAAACTTATCATTATATTGTAAAAATAAATGTCTGATAATGAAGAATTTCATGATCACCTTTTATTATTGACTAACCTTTATGCTATTTTTTAATAATGACTACAATATATTGACCAATTGCATGTACCATTGTATCATCTTAAAACCGGAATTTATCTATTTATTTATTTTTACAATATTTGTTTTAATCCATGAGATCATCTCTAAATCGGAATTTATCTATTAATTTATTTTTACAATATTTGTTTTAATCCATGAGATCATCTCTAAATCGGAATTTATCTATTAATTTATTTTTACAATATTTGTTTTAATCCATGGGATCATCTCTAAATCTGCTTAATACACACACACACGCACGCACGCACGCTCGCACGCACGCACGCACACACCTTCCACTTTATCTGCTCTTACTTTCATAATTCGTATACTGCACACCACATTTATAATATTTTAGGTCTACTGCAACTTTTTCTTTATTTCTGAATAATTGAAGTTGAAGTGGCTCTATCTATCCATACCACCACCGTCAGTACTTCCTTGCTGCTGTCGAGGTATTGTACAGTTTATACAATTATCAGAAGATCTCGACAGAGCATGTTCAGTCCAGGATAACATGGCTTAGTGAATGAAGGACGAGGCTTAGACAGGATGAGCACCCAAATCACTCTTAAACTGTGGGGTAAGGGATGAATCTCCTGACTTTGTGGAAGGATGAAGAACTATCAAAGGGATGAATCGCCTGACAGTATATAGGAGTAAAAGTAGATGGGCATCCACACTTTGTATGGAGAAAGAATAGGAATAAGGTTAAAGGAACATATTGTGAAATAAAAGACAGTTTGACGTAGAACCGAAAACCGTATATAGAATATACTAATTAAACTGCTGGGAAGGTCTGCATCCCAAAGGACAGAGACCTGAAGACCTTAGAGTCTCTTTTGTTCCTCGGAGGACTGCGGTAATCAATTTGCCATGCTATCAAGAGCCGTTACAGTTAAAGTTATTTTAAAGCATTTATTAGTATACCTTATCGCCATTAAACTTTATTAACAAAAAGTATTTACAATGTATATACATATTTAGAACTTGAGTATTTTGCAATACAATAAATAGAAATAATAATTCAATTTTGTATACAATGAGTGAGCCGGTGAACTACATTCCGGCGTGTGACGGCAGATGACCAGTTGTCCACTGTAGGTTTGATGGCTTGCAGGAATAGGCTGCCACACTGCCTTTCTATATAAGGCCATTAGAAGTCAGTGACCCTCTTATATTCTTCAGAGTCTACAATTTAAATCCTCCATTCAATCCAATCTCACCAGATCCATTACTCCCAACCTCTATCCTCTATATTTAGAAAGCCGTCTCCTTTTGGAATTCTATCCCTCCCAATATCTGACATGCACAATCAATTTCTTCATTTAAATCTCTCCTTTTTAACACCTACTCCTTTTCCAACCCAACTGATAACAAAATGTACATAAGAGAACTTCCTAAGTTCCCCCAGAAACTATTTTGTTCACTTATGTTATTTTATTTTCCTATATTTATTATATATATATATATATATATATATATATATATATATATATATATATATATATATATATATATTTATTTATTTATTTTAATTAGATATTATATTGTAAATATTTAATTTAATATATGGCCACACAGACATTTCTTCTGTATTTTTAACTTGTTCTAAAGGGACAATAGTCCCAGGATAATAAAAAATATTTTAATTTCAATAATGTTGAACCATTTCTTTTGTTGACTATGTAAATTGATTATTATTTCAATCATTTCATTTTAAAATAATTTCTTGATATAATGTCATCCATCCATCCTGGTAATACTTATCCAGCAACCACCAAGGAAGGCAATCTGCTTACTACTTTTGAATTACTCTTATATTTATATAAATTTATATTTGATATTGATCTTTGTTTTTTATGTTCATACTTCTCTACCGTATACCATGACATCACCTAAAATCCCCTATAACATGCTTGCATATAATTATTATTTATGATGGATTAGATGTTATCAGTTAATTCTCATTGATTACATTGCATAGATTGTTGAATAATAAAGGAAGTTCTCATATTTTGAAGATAATTTAGTTTCATTTGTCTCAGATTAAAGAACTTCAAGCAAAAATGGCTGCCAAACAAACTTGGCCACGTCAAGAATCTATTAAAGAATCATCAGAAATCAAACTGCCGATCCCCCCTGATCATCCTGACACAGAAAGAAAAGTTTTATTTAAAGATAAAGATGCATCCCAACAACCTCATGAACACGAAAAAGAAGAAAAGGGAGTTAGTGAAGCAAGAACTGAACAAGAAGAAAAACAATCAGAAGAGTTTAAAGAATCAGATAGTGATATTGAGAAACATGAAGAAACTTTAATTCATTCGCCCGATGATGAAGAACAGCATGACACTCAAGTAGGAGCATCTATGAGATTTTTAAAAGATGTGGCTGAATCTGACGAAGAAGGTAATGGCTAATAACTAAATATGAAGTATTTATTATTTTAATATTCTGATTTTTCAATCCTTAAAAATTCTTCCAAATAGATAAATCCTACTGAAAATATTGCCACCATGATGATTATTTGGTGCATAAGATTTAAGTTGACCAGCCAGGCAGAACTTTTTAAAGAACTCTTTTTTTAGCTTAATTTCTTAATTTTTTAACATTCTCAGTACAAACATGAAAGTTTCATACTTGAATTTCAAAATCAGTTCACAATTGTTATATTGATGCTTGAGATTCAAGTATTTATTGATATTAGGGCAGGCCCTTTACATCAATAATTAAAATTTTAACTAAAATATTGTCAATATGCTTGACCAGAAAGAAAAAAAATTAAATTAAATTTTCATCATATTAAAAGATAAGTTTTCATTTTAAATAGTTAGCACTACACAGTGATATACTATTAAGTAGAAAATAAACAGATTAACTACTGCGCATAAAAATTAGGTAAAATATAATCCTAAATCAAAATGTTTTGTTCTTCCCTGGTTTCACCCTGAAGCAAACGATGTGTAAGTTTTGGTTTGGTTTCACGTTTATTCCTATTTATAAATTTTATTCATTCAACTATCAATCATTTAACATCACTAAAAATAGTAACAACTTTTTTTTTTTTTATCAGGTTAGAACCTAGTATTGGTGACTTCTTTTAGGTTTAAATAGTCTTAAAAGTGGTTTTCCTTCAGAAACTGTTATAATCAACTTTTCTTTCAAGCATTTTTATTTACCCATTAGGTAAATTCACCAATTTTATATCACAGGCACAATATAATGTAGACTCTCATGGCATAAGAATTCCACTTCCTCCAGTATGTCACTAATTAATATTAACTGTTAGATTCATTTATCTATGTTCTTCAAAAATCTGCCGAAACCTCACTTCATAAAGTTGACCTTCACCTTACTAACTTAGCCAGCTTTTATAAATTTTGCAAGACTAAACAAGTTCCAAAATAAATACCCCTTTTTATTATAATAAAGTAATAGTAATGACGATGATGTTGTTCTCATTTGATGAAAAGCCAGTATTAGACTATTGGTGAATTAAGAATTCCTTAATTATTAAATGTAACAACTAATTAAGAGTTAAGTTAAGCTAATAAAGATTCTATATTTTATAGAAAATGCTGCACCTAGATGGACTCCACCACCACCAATAATTGGAAGGAAAGGAGTTGCTTACAAATTAAATGGTGGTATTTGCTTCATGTCTCAAGAATATCCTGACGCAATGAAATTTGTAAGTTTATTTATAATATTACTCATAATGCATCTTGTTATGGCTAATAAGCAACTAATGTTTAGTTAAATTTCTTTATATTGTTATTACTAATTAGTGCAGTTCAATAATGTTTTCCATCCTTTATCTTTATTTATTTTCTTATCAAAATATTATTTCTTTAGCACTTAATAAGATGATATATATAACTATTTTGATGATATATATAAGGTATGATATATAACCATTTTTATGTAATATATAATCTACCTTATTATAATAACCTATATATGTAATATATAATAAGGGAAAGTATTGCGGTCGTGAAAATTTTCGAATCTGAGTTTTCAACGGAAATACACGTTTTGATGTCTCCTGAGTCCAAATAACCAAGTACCACAAAATGGTCTGTGAATCTGTGAGTCTGTGTGTCTATGTGTCTGTATGTATATGAACAGCCTAGCTCAAAAATGAAAAGTTGTACAAAACTTAAATTGCGTATTTAAGGTTTTTATATAGTTCTGATCTGGCAGCAACTTTCTTGTTACAATCGGCTAACCAGAAGTGCCACTTCATATCAACGATGAAACACATTTTTACAATTTTCACAAAAACGGCTCTAACGATTTTGATTAAACTCGGTGTATCATTGTATAATTAAGTGGTTTTTAATATCATTTAAGTCTTATTCCCATTGATTTTACTTTACAGAGCTTAAATCCCCAATGTTTATATATGTCTTCCTCTAAAGTAACTTTAATATGGTTTATTTTAAATAATTCACTTATCCAGGTTGAAATTCCTAAAAATACTTTTTGAAAATTTTTAGTTTAAATCGGAGTTTATAACGGCTTATAATAAATAAGTAGTAAGTAGCAGGTTGAATAAAAACTTCAAGTAAGTAAGTTTAGTTCGTTACCAAAAGAAATGCTATAAAAATACTTATCACAATGCTAGTCCTCGATTTTAATCAGTGCTTTTGATTTGTTAAGACAATGATTATGATTGTCAGTCGATTTCATCAAACTCTGTTAATCATTGATTTTTGTTTTTCCAGAAAAACTTTCCCAAGCCAGTAATTAAACCTGGAGACAAATTTAGCCGTACAACTATCTATAAATTCGGCATCATTCAACCAAGAAGTGCTGCAGATTCAACCCTTTATCTGTAGATTCGTTTTTCTGATGTTATGAGAAAAATTTTAAAAATGCCAAATCGGTTTTTAGAAAAAAATATATTTTATTATGAAATGCTGCTTGTCTTATATAGTATTTTAACTAATTAGTGTTTTATTTTGCCTAAGGGTTCAAACTCATTCACAAACGTAGCAATATAATTTAGTTTATTTTTTATTATTTAACTGAACTATTTGTTTGTAACCTTTAATTTTAATTTATTCTATGTGAACCTTTGTAGGTTTCAGTATTGGCAGTGCCAGTCTTAGGCATTCAGTCCCCTCCCGGGCAATGACATCATCCCTCATCTCTAAAAAAAATTAAATTTATTTCTTATAATATAGAATATTTAAATTTTGAAGAATATTGAATATTGAATTCAACAAAATTCCTAATACAGTTGTTTTGTTAGTTGGCTAAAATTAATCATTTAATACATTTTGTAACTTTATTTTTTATTTCTTACAAGGGGTAAGTGTCCCCCTGAAGATCAGTCGGCGCCATCAATGGGGGAATTGCCCCACCATAAGGCCGGCACTGAGTATCAGGTAGTATATTTATTAAGGTTGTTGACTTCAATCCTTAAAGTCATTGGCGATGCCTCATTGGATTCAATTTCGTTATAGTGAATTCATAATTGATACTGTTTTTTCTTTATCCTCTAGTATATTAAAATTATGCTTCCTATTTTATTAAAATTGTTTACCTTACGTAGTAAAATATTTTTCTTAATTATGAAAATCACAATTTTTATCTAAAATGTTTTGCATGTAATATATATTTTATAGCATGCCAATAGTATATTCTCTCTATTTATCTTCTATTCTATATTATGTTCTCTAAGTGAGTTGTTTATTTGGCATAAAATCTTTACTAGCCCTTTTTTTTTCCTGTATTTTCTATTATTCTAACCATCTCACAGTGGGACAAAATGCTCAATTCTGTGGACACAGATTTTTCATCCAGGTTTTCCTCATAATAATATAATGAGAAAGTTGATTTTTAATTTTAATTTTTTTTTTATATATCCAACTTCTGTCCTAACCTAAATCAATTTTAAATTAATCAATTTTAAATTATTTTTTTTTATTTATTTATTTATATGATATTTACAACTGTATACAAAAAATACATCTGGTAAATTCGCACATGGATATAATGACATGGAACACATGTTGAGAAACTACCCATTGGTAGCACTCTAATAATTTGTCTATATTAGAAGATCACGTGGCCATCTTCTTTTCAGACGCCTCGGAGGGTTATCAGGAATTGAATAGGAAGCAAGATTAGAAACCCCAATTTATGAAGTTTATTATGGAAGGATTGGGCCAAATCTGATACATAAGGAACATTAAGGTCATTATGGATAATTTTATTTGTAACAAAGTAAGGAGCATTGAGGATTTTGGATTGTAAGGATTGGATGCGAGAGGAATTTGAAGGTTTGGTGGAGCCCCATAGCTCAATCAAATTTAAATAAATTTTAAAAAATGGTAAACTTGAAATTACAATTTCATTTTATTTTATAAAATTACTGCAACCACAGTATTTTTAAAAAATAGATACAAATAAAAATACTCTACTTATCTGCTGAACAGAAGGTTATCTTATCCTTACAATGGTATAGTCAATTTCTATCATATATGATATATTACAGAAAAACCATAAGTAGATTTATAGAATTAGAAATAAACCTTAAAACGTTAATAATATAATGTGATGTAGAGATGGTTGACCGTGATATAATATGAGAAGGAATTGGTCGGGGGGTGCGGTCAAATTTATTTGTTGGTTTAGGAAAATCTTATATTTTTATGAAAATGGTTAAAAAAACTGCAAGTGGTTTATTTCTAAGTATATATATATATTCAATAATATATATTTTTATATTAACAAAATATAATAATACGACTAAAAGCAAAAATGAATGTTATATTTTTTACAAACACATGTATAATTATATACAAATATTAATAAATTCTAAAGTAGCCCAAGATTGGATCAAATTTTTGGATTTCACATTCACATAATACCTTACTTCTAATTGTTGAAGCTTATTTTTCAATAAAATTTTTGTTTAATGAAATTTTATCAATATGAAAAATTTAAATCCAAAAATAAATTACTTCATTAGGCTGGTTATCTGGAATTTCTTCATTTTTGTTTTGAAACCTTCTGAACACAATTCCCTTATTATAAAATATTTAAAAAATAAGATAAATTGCATTGCGCAATTGAATAGTTAAAGATTTTAAAAATATCTAATTTTGCAACATATAAATTGAAGGTCCCAACTTTCGTAGAGATTTATGAAAAATTTATCATTAAAATCCTTTTGAAATTGCATGACAACAGACTATGATATACTTCAAAGCCCAAAGAACACGTCTATTTTTAAATCATAGAAATTTCGAATTTTGAGTCAATGTCGCAAGTTTCGCCTTATTCATCTCACTGTATATTTCTTCCAATCCAGAATCTTTAGTGCAATGTGAAACCCATATTCAAATCATTTTGGACTAAAATGATAGTTTAAACAATAATTATACTAAGGTAGTCCTAACACAGACTACTTAAATTATAATAAATATTATGTTTTGTTTAATCTTCTATATTTATAATTTAAGAAGATTAATTAAATTTTTCATAAATACAAGATATTCAATTCAATTTTTTAATAAATTCTAGGTATAAAAAAAGAGGATATGATATATTATTCTTAATTTTTCTTATGATATAATATACTAAAATTTAGTTTTTTATTTACATTATTCATTCATAAAAATAATTCATTCAAACTCTGTAGTAGAATCAATAAACATCTGGTTACAATAAAATAGAAAGTAACACCGCACAGCAATATTTTCAAATACATCTTGACTTGTTGATATCTGTAAAATAATATTTATAAAATAACATAATTCAAATGAAAATAAATTTAAAATTATTCTAATAAGTTAATTTAAAATACTTTAAATAAATAAACTTAAACTATTACATTAAGAAATAAATCGGTCCCACAACAATATATGAATATTAGAGGGGATATGACAAAGGAAGGTACTGGTACAGGTATCGTGACTATGTGGTCAGTACCATGTCCCAACCTGCCACATGTGATTTTGACTAATGAGAGGTATTATTTTTTACAAAATTCATATGAGTCCAGGAACCATTTAACAAACCATAGTTCACTCACCGACATACCACAAATATTCTGTCAAGACAAAATTTACTGTGCTAAGTCAGGATTAGTTAAGCATAGAAAAACATTGCATCTGCTTTTGCTGTTTCCTCTTCTAAAATACCACATAAGAAGTTATATAATAATATAACATTGTCTTTGTGAATTTAAAAGAAATAATGATGTAGAGATGGTTGACCGTTGATATAATATGAGAAGGAGTTAGTCGAGGGTGCGGTCAAATAAATAAAAAAAATTAAAATATATTAATTATTTTAATTTTTGCCGACGTTTCGACCCACTTTTCAGGTCGTCTTCAGGGCTACAAAAGATACAAAACATGTTGAAAATAAAAAATAAATATAAGTATATATAAAATACGAAGAAGTTGTCAGATACAGAAATAAAAGATGGTATCAGAGATATAGTGGGTGACAATGTAGTTAAATATTAAGAATTATATATGTAGAAGATACGTACGTATAGAAGATTCCTACTTATTTTCCATTTATTTGTATCTTCTACATATATAATTCTTAATATTTAACTACATTGTCACCCACTATATCTCTGATACCATTTTTTATTTCTGTATCTGACAACTTCTTCGTATTTTATATATACTTATATTTATTTTTTATTTTCAACATGTTTTGTATCTTTTGTAGCCCTGAAGACGACCTGCAAAGTGGGTCGAAACGTCGGCAAAAATTAAAATAATTAATATATTTTAATTTTTTTTATTTATTTGACCGCACCCTCGACTAACTCCTTCTCATAAAAGAAATAATATTTTTTAAAATAACGTAAGTGTTGGGTTGCCCTCAGGTGTACCATTTTCCTAGATTTGCTACTGTACTCCAGCTTCCAGTTAAATTCGGTATCTTTCTCTTTGTATTTTTCCATCCAATCGAGTCTCATATGTCTTCTAGCAGTTCTGTCCTAGTTCATACTGAGAAGGTTGCCAAACCATTCATTTCACAGGATGATTTTCATTGACTAAATTTTAGTGTGGTTTATATTATACAGCTGCAAATATTATTTTTTCTAATTTTCTCATTGAGTATCTGAAGATAGCACATAGCATGTAGAATGTATTGAGTCTGCTGTACAATCATGCAATTGCAAGACCACAACTTGGATACATAAGAAAAAAACATGATGGATGTTTATTTGTCATTTCTGTCTTGTTTTTGATAACTAAATCTTTTATTTAGAATTTATTGATTTACCAAAAAATTAAATAAATAAAAATGTCAATTTATGAACGTGTAATAAAACTAAAACTAGAGAATACAGTTAATTTTATTTATTATACATCTTAATTTACCTGGTATAAATTGGATTAGTCATCTCCGAATCATTCAAATCCTCCTTAAATAAGTAAGCTATCATATTCCTAATGTTTCTTGCATTGCATTGTTTCCAGTCATTATTAATAATATCGAAATTAAATAGTTTCTTATCAACATTCGACATCGAAGACCAGAGCTTATCCACATTAGACAGCTTATTGCTCCAAGATTGTGGGTGATAATATTCGGAAGATAAACTAAAATCGTCCGTTTTAACAAATGTGTTCAATATTCTGAAACATTTTTTTTTAATTAGTCATTGCAAAAGGATTATTAAAATTAAAAGATTATCTAAATTAAATAAGTCGGTATTAAAAACAGAGCAATCATTGCTAATGAATTTTTTAAAACATATTTTCATTTCTTGATTTCTTGAGTTTCCAATCAAAACAAATCAGAAAGAAAAATAATTATTATTACTTTTTTTATATTTTTTTTATTTGAAAATTAATACATTCTGCCGCATTGGAGGGCATTAATATTATGGCTACATTAAACATTCACACAATATATACATACAAATGATAACTAAAATAGAGATAAAAGAAAAAGAGTTTAACATACATAGGTAAAAAATAAAAATAAATAAATAAAACAAGAGAAAAAAAAATGAAATATATAAAACACGTTCATACTTAATTATTATTACTAATGAATCTATTTTTTGATTCCTGAACAATTTTCTCATATATTCTTTGGAGACTATATTCTAACTATTATATTATATTATAACAATTATATAATATATTTATCTCTTAACTATTGAGTTGGGCAGAATCAGGAAAGTGTGTGACAATCATAATTCCTATCCTGGCACAGCTCAATTATTTATTTTTTTTTTTTTTTGAGAGAGAGAAAATTTAGTGTGCAATACGTTTTCAACTTGTTGTGTTGGACATGAGAAATATAAGTTTTGAAACATTAAAGGGTGCGTCTACAATTTTCTGAAGGACCTTTGACTGGAACGAATGGATGATTTTTATATTTGATTTTTTTGCTGTTCCCCCATAGTTCGATTCCATATGTCCAAAGGGATTTAATGAGGAATTTGTAAATAGTTAATTTATTAGTCACAGATAATTTAGAACGTCTGTCAAGTAGCCTAGAAAGAAGTCCGTATCGCTGATTAAGTTCTTTTCTTTTTTGTTTTATGTGGTATGTCCATATCAGTCGTTTGTCCAAATGGAGACCCAAATATCGTACAGTTTTTGAAGGTGGTACAGCGATATTGTTAAAGAACACTGGAGAAAATACTTAACTTTTGAATATTAATGTTTATTTACAAATATATAAAAAAAAATCAATACTTGATATTTTATTTACGGTTACTGTAGATAATTTTATATATATTCTTTTTTTTTTTTTATTAAACTTGTGAAAAGGAGATTCATTAGTGGATAGAAAAGAGGAAAATTTGGCTTTAGCTTATATGTGCATGTATATTTATTTGCAGAAAAGGCTTACTTGTGTGTGTTAGAATAAATCTTCAAATACAGATTAAGCATTAACAAAACCAGAACTGGATAAATATATTTGCTTTGGTCATTTATCCAATTATGATTATTTTCATGTGGTTTATTATTCTCTAAACATTTTTTAGAAATAGCTTGGTAAATCAAATTAGTGTTTTCAGTCAAATGTTCGCCACAATTTGTTGGAATTCTGGAATTCCAAGAAGGGATTACATCATATATTGGAGTAGTGAAATCGTTCCTAAAACATATTTTAAGTTTTTAATAATTTATGTAATACAAAAATATTTCCTTTATATAAATTTAAGTCTTTGAGCATACTTATCAAGAGATTGTGGTAAAATTAATTTGTACATCTTTAATGTGCATAAAAACAATTGATAATTTAAAAATTCCTATGCTCTTATTTATTATTATTATTTTTAATTCCTTAAAATACATCACTTTAAGGCTTTAAAAACTTAATGATTAAATACCTGTTCGATTTATTTGTTCCGACTTGCCATGAAATAGCCATTACTGTGTTTATAAAATTATCTGCGGTCATAGAGATTTTCTTTGTTCCATGTATATAGTATTTTAAAACACTAATGAGCACTGAATGAGTCTCAGTTGATAAATTAAAAAGTTTTTTCCTGTTGAGCGGATTGTATTTTTGACCTTCTTCAAAAACAAAAAAAAAATTTAAATTAATATTATATTAAAAACAGTTATTAAAACATAATGACTACATTGTAAAGATTAAAGTGTCATTTTAGCATTAACACGTTCATGCCGGGACCGATTTTTATTTGTTTTGCTGTGAGGCGGCGCTGAAATTAATGCCGTGCTTCATCTGGAGGCGTTAATTAATTTTCAGAGTCTAATAGCACAATCAAATGTGTACCACTGGTGGTGCCCCATGAGACAATCTAGTGCGGGCCACCAGTGATACACGCCGGTATGAACGTGTTAACTCAATGTGGTTTGAAAGTTGTGCCATAAAATTTTTTTAGGGAGGTACATTTTTAGGAGGTTATGAATTTTTAGAAGGAATCATATTTTGTAGTCTGTTACCTGGGGCTAACTTCCAAACCAAGGAACAAGGGTTATTAAAATTATGCTTACATTTTCACCATTTTTAATAAGAGCAATAAAATTTCATAGGAAGAAATGCTAGCCCTATTCTTCTTGGAAATGGGAGGAGATGGGCACTTCTGCCCCGTAGTCATAATTACCCCAAGTGGAGCATTATCCTGCAAACTAGATACAACTTCATCATAGCAGAAACTACTTAGATACAAGTTCCAAGTCTTTCAGTTTCCAAGATGATATGATTACACAATTGCCAAGAATCAGCAATTGTGTAATTAAATCTTTTCTTAGTGATCCAAACATTTCCTCTATTATCACTCTTTCTTTTGTATGATTCCGATTACATCCAGATAATATTCAATTATCCTAAAGCGATTTGACTGGTGTAATCAGCCATTGTTATGATGCCCTTTTCCAAACTCTTCCTCCATACCCTGGCATTATTCACTGAAGGAGACCACTGAATAGTAATAGGTATGAGCTTCTCCTAAGTTTTTGTCTGAACTTTTGTATTTTATTTGAACTTTGATGTTGTCATAATCCTTATAATTTATTTATTTACCGTCAAACAGTAGAGGTTTTAATTTCTTTTTGGGTGCAATATAAGGTATCATAAATAGTCCAGAAACCTTGTCATGAAAAGGGGTATAACAAAAGTGGAGAATACCCCTTCTTATACTTTAAAAACTTATGTTGCGACTACATATCAATAGCTGTAACTTCTGTTTTATTACATTAAAAATGAAATTGTCACTTCCTGTTCAAGAAAATAAAGATAGAACCAAAAAGAATAGTTGTAGCTTCCTCTTAATCACACTAAAGGAAGTTGTAATTTCAAAATCCACAAATAGAACCATGAACTATGTTTAATCACTTTACTAATTGAGTCTTTTATGTATGATATATTTTTTTCTTTTAATCCCAGGATAATAAACTCATTTTCTATTGGTTTAAAACAACTAAAAGACTTTTATTAATTTGAATGTTGTATTCCAATAGACAAGTTACATTTACTTCTGAAGTTGTGAAATATTCAGCCTTTTCTTAAACAATTTATTGAGTTTATTTCAATTTTTATTTAAATTTTTAAAATGGGTTATTAAAAGAAAAAAATGATACAAATAATTATTGTAATAATTTTTTTTAAAGAAGTATGTAAACGAAATAATTTTTTCTTCTAACCATATGACGACCTTGCTATAGCAATTGGTATTTTCTCATTGTATTCTCGTAAAACTTCTTCTGCTACTGCTTTTGTAAAATCATTCATATCTCCTCTCCATCTTACAACCCTAGAAAATAGTGTTTTCTAAGTTAGATAATTTTGAAGAAAAAAAAAAATCAATATGATATAGAACATTCTTTTTGACATTGATCTAAAATGAGATGCTTAGACATAATTTATTTTAAATTCTTCCTGAGTGAAGTGGTTAGATATTCTGTAGATTCCTGATCTGAATAATACTACCAAGAGCAAAAAGCTTATATGTTTTTGAGAATTCAGGGGCATTGGAGAGATTAAACAAGCGCAAAATATATACTTGAAACAGTACCAGTTAGACAATCTAGGATTTATTTAGGGGACTAAATAATCAATAAAATTGTATTATTTACTCAAAGCTAACAAGATTTTTCAACAATAATGTGAGGCTCTAGTGCCTTGAAATGTACACAAAAGATAAAATGGATGTAATTCAGCCATAATTAATAATACTCTAACTATCATGCTGTTTATTATTATAAATGCTGTTATTATTATTATTATTATAGTAAAAAATTGTTTTTATTATTTTTCTCAAAATAAAAAAGTAGTTTTTGTTTGTTTACTATTCTTATCAAATAGTAATTTTTATTTTACTGTTTCCTATTAATATTCTCTGATTCTTAGAAAATCGATTATGTAGAAAATATAGTAAAATTAACATACCCTTAGAAAACTAAACTTGAATTGTTTCTAATTAATTTTTTTTAATTATAATTTTTATTAAAGGCCATATATTAATAAACTATCTCATTATTCTCTAAAATATCAGTGATGAAATATGTAATTGATGTACATATTTATCAATATGTTTATCTAGCGAACCTCAACTGCGGATAAATATTTATTTTAACTGTGCATATATTGTACTATGTAGATAGATAGATAGATAGAAAAAAAACTTTATTCTGGGACTAAGTCCCTTCAGAATAACAATAATGTACAAAATAATAGAATATTACTGGCCTGAACGTTGAAACAATAAATAAAATTGATAAAATAAAATAAAAAGTAAAGAAAACCTTAGGTGCACAAGCTATATACAAACAGATAAAACTATGTACAGAGCATTTAAAATTATGAACAAAACAATTAAAACTATGAACGAATCACTTGAACTACGAACAAAATTATATTTGAGGGTTGAACAACATAAACATACACTTTGAGAAATGAAGAACGAAAAAGAGATACAATGAGTTCATTTCATAAAAAAAAAAAAAAAAAAAAAAAAAAAAAAAAAAAAAAAAAAAAAAAAAAAAAAAAAAAAAAAAAAAAAAAAAAAACTTTACTTGAATATATATATAAAAATAAACAGTTACTTATAATTGAATAAAAAAAAAAATAAAAAAAAATGTATGTATTGAAATTCCTATGGCGATAGTAGGAAATGCATGTACTATCTCTTACCAAGTGTTATGATTATATGATTGCTACACAATACATATATAATATCAATAGTTAGCTGGTATCAGACTGTTTTTGGAACAGGAATTGGAATAGGAGGTTTTTGAATGTATACAGGGAAGGGGCATGTCGAATTTTGATCGGGAGGGAATTCCAAAAGTTGACAGAGCGGGCTATAAAGGAATTTTGGAATGAGGCAGATCTATGAGAAGGGATGTATAGGTCAGAGGGTCGGGATCTTGTAGTGAGTGAATGGATTGAGGACTTAAATTGGAGAAGGTTGTAGGCATAAGAAGGACGATGATCGGTAATGATTTGATAAAGGAAAGTGCCAAGGAAATATTGTCTTCTTAAGGAGAGGAAGAGCCACCCTAACTCAGTGTAGTGGTGGGAGACACGGGAGCGTCTCGGGGTTCCAATAACAAATCTTACATACTTTTAATATCTAAAAAAGTATAAAACCATATATATTCTGAAAATCACATGAAATTTAATATAATTAATTTTATAATAAATTCTATTACTTGGATGCAACCACTTGTAGCTGTTCTTCCCAGGAGTTTAACTTGTTATAAGAAAATATTTTTTCATGAAACTTTTCTTTAACCTCCGGTTGAAACTTTTTTGCATTAATTGTTGAAACATAAATGAAAGCCTAAATAAATTAAAAACATTCTTAAGATTATTTATATTAAACTTCTCTGTTCTGATAAAATATGAAAAGCATTGTCAAACCTTCAAATTTTTCATTTTACTAGCCAGTTCCAACAAGCTCTTTGTTGATTGAATATTATTACAATATAAACTATTTATATTTTCATATTTATTAGTAGCTCCTGCACAGTGAAAAACAATTTGGTTCTCATCAAAGAGTATTTTTTGGTTGATTTCTGAGATCCCACAACATGGCTGTGTATAGTCACCAGGGATAATTTTTATCTTATTCTTAAGGTACTGAGATGTTTGGTTTGTTTTGTCAATAACCTAAAAAGAAATTTAGTATATCAATCACAAATTTATCAAATATTTTAAATCTTAAATTATGATTTTTGTTATTATAAGAATCAAGATTAGCAGAATTAAAATTGTGTTTTTCTGTATATATATTTCTTTTTTTTTTAATAATTACTTATATATATACCCATACAAATAATACATTTTTTATTCTCTTATTTTTGGATGATGTTGCCTTGGTAAATATTTTAATATCAGTGGTGGATGAAGTAGACTAGGTGGCCTTATTGAGTTCCAGATAGCTAAGTATCCTAATATCCAAAAATATCATGATATAACAGGAAATAACCCAAATGGTAAAAAAAAAAAATGAGGATTCCCAAAATTTTACTTTAGTGGCACCAATTATCTACACCCATGACACATCATAACAAATTAATGTAAAATATATTACTGTCATAAATTATTAATATTTTAAGAGGGGAAGGGATTTTATTTTTATTATTCATACAAATTTTACAAAATACTTTAGATTTTTAAAATTAAAAAAAAAAACTTCCACCACAACCACCTTAAACCTTTACTTATGAAAATTTCATTTAGAGAAAATTGTAATTCCAAAAATAAAACAATACAAAGCAATATCATACAATTTATTAAACATATTTAAATCATAAATAGTCATTATATAATATTACAAATCACAATATGATTTCTATTTAAATTCGTTTTAGTGTTTCATTAATTCCAGTAGATAGAGTAGTATATGTTTCTTACTATCGCCACCAGGTAGCGCTGTAGTTCTAAATGAAAGTACGTTAGGTGATCTAATTTTAATATAATTTAAATTTCAAATTGATTAATTAAAGTTTTTTTTTTTTTTCATTTGAAGAAAATATTCCAGGTATGTATCAAAATAATATCTTATGTTGGTATTTTTAACTTTGTGATCAATCTTATTAAATTACAATTGTTTTACTGTGAGAATAGATAAAGCATATTTAAGAATTTCCATTACTTTACAAATCAAATAAGAATGATTGTTTTCGTTTTTTCTAATATATTAATTTTACATAAAAAGAAATATATTAACACACCAAAGATACATTTAAACAATCATTATCACTTTATAAAAATAAAATACTGTACAAGAAGTATTCCAAAATTATTTAAATACCTAATTTCCAAATTTATTAAATTCCTAATATAAATTATTCATTTAATTTCTTTAAAATATTTTCCTGCCAAGAAATTTCTACTCAATCCCCTTATAGTGTAAATCATTATTACAATCAGCAAAGATTTATATGTTAAAACAGAAAATGGCTGAAATGTCATATTAATAAAGGAAATAAAAACAATTTAGCTTATGTGGAATGAAAGTTACATCTTTATCATATCCTTATGCAATATAATTTCCTTCATAACAAAAAAAAAAAAAAAATTGAAAAATGTTAACATAGAACCCTAAAAAATGAAATAAAATTGTATTGTTTTAGGGTTACAAAAATATCATTGGAAAGAAATTGGTTTACTTATTTGTGTAACAATAATGATTAAACATTTGCCATCAAACCTTTCTGATAAAACAAGTTTAAAAACTATCGCTATAATTTGAATTGACTGCACTATTTTGAATACAGTTACACATGCCACATTGATAATAGCTTATAGTTAGTTTTTACATACTTACACTAGGACACATTTCTACATATTTCATAGATTATAAAAGTTTTCAGGTAAACTCTTGGTAATTAATAAAGACTCGTTCACTAACTTAATTTAATCCAGAATATGGCCATATTAAAAATATATGATTTCAAATATTTGGTTTACTCCTAAAATCTTGCAAATCCAATTAACTAAAATTCAATACTCTTCTTAATAACCAAAGTTCATTCATTTATTTTTATTCTTATAATGTGTGAGGCAATGTTTTTCAATAATGTCATTGTTTTCTCAAAAGATAACCAGCAAACAGTAATCAAATTTTTTTATTTTTCCTAGTGCACAATTTGCTTTAATATACTTGTACAGTTTTAGAGTGAAATTATTAATTTTTTGTAATTTAATCTTAAGCAGTTAATCTTAAAAAACATTATTTATCCCGTATTGCAATAAGTTTTCGGTGAATATAATAAAGTAAATAAGCATTTCTAATGTTATATATTTCAGAATTTCATTTTAAAAGCAATAGGAACAGACATAAGGATAATTTTGTTAAGTTATCTAAATATGCAAGTCTCTTGACGGTCAGTTTGTTGCCCAAATAGTGCAGTTCTAAATTTGTCGATTCAAAAGATAAATCACAGTTTTCAGATATTTATAAATAATTTTTAGTATTTTTTTCCTGTCTGTTTCATATATCAGGATTACACTTGAATCAGTGAAATAGAGAACAGAAGTGTTTAGAGACGGGAAGGTGATCAACAGCTATTGAAAGCATTTTCGAAGGTAAGTACTGTAGTCATTTGTAATTAGAGAATGGATTTTGTGACAAGTAGACTTTTATTTAATAGATTTTAATGATATTTTCAATAAATTTTATAATATCATTTTTTTCGATAAAATATTTGAATTAATTATTAATTTTGTTTTGGTCAACTTTGAATTTGATCCAAATTATTATGCTTATGTTATTCTAATTCATCCTTGTTTTAGCATGGACATTGTTGGTTTGTTGCATTACATCAGAGATGGTCAAATTCTACTCTGAGTACTGAGCACCAAATGTTTTACTCGAATTGTATCACTATCGGACATTCAATCACTACTTTGACATCAACTGAAGTTGTAATTAAATTCTTTGGTACTAAAAAAAAAATCAATATTTAAGTAAAACACCCGGTTCTCAGTACTTAGAGTAGCATTTGCCCATCTTTGCGTTAGATTAGCATCAGATTAACAGGTGGTGGTGTATCAGATTTAATTTTATAATTAACTGCATAGTTAGTATTTTAAATTAATTAAGTACACTGGATCTTTAATTTATATTGGACTATAATTTATCGACCAATCAATGTTTTGATTAGTTCATTTAAATATAAATATAAATTTGATATTAGTATGAGGAACAAAGTACTAAGAATTCATAAAATTATTTTTCTTCATTTCTGATTCAGGTGCAGTAAATTACTAATATATTATTGCTGTTATTTGTTTAGTATTATAATAATTTAAGTTTTCTACCTCAGAAAATAAGAACTCATCATGACTTTCTTCAATTAATTTGTTCTTCTCTATCTTCATTAGCAGGTATATTGTTCCTATTTTCGGACATGACCTGAAAAGTTTGCATTTAGAAAATTACTGGTTTAATGAAAACTCATACTAAAAGCGTTAATAATTTTGAAATTACAGTTGTTTTTTATGGTTCCAACTTGAGGGCTACTCATAAATCTTTTGATTTTGAATTGTGAGGGCTCATCAAACATCTCTGAGTCTGATAGTGACCTGAAAGGATCAGTTTCAAACAAATAATCAGATGTTTTGTGAGAAAATTTTCTAGATTTTAAAGATATGTTTTTCTTTTTACGAGTAGTCTTATCATGAATGATTACGAACTTACATGGACTCGCAAGTTAAAGTGGTCAATGAAAAACCGTTATGAAATAAGAAAATTCAGTCCTCTATCACTCTTATTCACTTTCCTCACTAAGCCACTCAGCTTTTCTCAAAATCATCCAAGAATCACAGTGGTGGTAAAAAGTAATTGCACAAGCCAAATTTTGGGTTTAAATTCAAATTGAAACATTATACGATAACAAAACTCTTTTGATGGAATCTTATTTTATTTACACAGCTGTTAAACTAAAAATTAATTAACTAACTACCTAAGTGCCGTCAACAGCCTCCCACAGTGCTACATCCTACGCCCTGATGATGACCTGCAAAGTGGGTCGAAACATCCGCATAAAAAATAAATAATACTATTTCTATAATTCAACTCCTCACAAAAATTAATTACTTCATAAATAAATATAACAGTAAAAAGGTATGTTTCAAAAATACTTTAAATGCTCTTATTATAATGATACAATTAAGCAATCATTGTTTTCTATTAAATCTCTATTCATCAATACCTGCTTTGAAGATGTTATGTCAAAGATAAAATAAGATATCTTATCTTAAACTTTCTGGCTCAATTATACCACACTTTTTGAGTAAAACTTCTGTCAAATTCTATTTTGGAGATAATGATATACTTACAGATCCTATGCTCTAGAAAGTGGCATTTATTATTAATTACATTAATATCTGTATTTTAAGGAGTGGTAAGGAGGCTTCTAGGTGTATTTTACAAGAGCTAATTTTTGGCATTATGTGCGGTGGACTTAGGATCGTTACCTTATTAAAATATCTATGAATTTTCAATCCATAATTCTTGAATGCTGTTATTTGGGTTGTTGTGAAAAATGTTGAAATAACTGTCTTCATTAAAAATATTGTTAATCAGAATTAATTTTCACATCTTCCGAAACGAGACACATTTCCTAACTGTAAAATCTCCCCTCCATGTTTTACTGTGGCTCGAACACTTCAAAATAAATTACATAAATTGCTAAACCTAACGTTTTATCAAAATTCTATTGGTTTGTAAATATATTCCTTAGTAAACTATTTTCTTCCATTAACATTAATGACAAAAGGTTTCTTGCTGGGTATCCTTCCATGTATGTGATAGTGTTAAGGGATTCTTCTTACAATTTACTCACAGCTCTGGTTGTTGGAAGTTTTCATCACCATATCTACCAATCTCCAAGCATTGATGGAGATGTCATTTGTAGTTTTTATGATGGCATCCCTACACACAGAAGTACTACTTTAGGGCATTTTTTTTGTGGTTAGTTGGAAATGTTTCCTGTCTTACCATACCTTTTAATAATCAACAAGAAATCCATATTGAACCAACCGATTTCGAAATATTTATTTTTACAGTTTATGAGTAAAACAAATTTTTTTGGAATCACAATAGACATTTCACCTTGTTTTGGTGCCATTCTCGCCCAAATATAACATTAAGAAATAATTAGGTTTTATAACAATACATATTTAGGATTATACAGATCCTGAATACCATCTGCCTAAAAAACAAACAAAATACAAACTTGTTCAAGTACTTTTGAAAGTTAGTTTTTTTTTTCATTTTCATTAATTTATGAAGGGATTTAGTTTATCTAATTAGTTATTTTTTGGTTTCTGAGCTGTTTAAAGAAATTTATGTTCCATCAAAAAAGTACTTATTCTATTCCTCTTTGCAAGCCAAAAATTAGCGTGTGCAACTTCCTTTGACTGCCACTGTACAAAATTGACCATATACGCTTATTTTAACTCCTCTGAACAGGTTGATTTGATAATATAATTATTTACTTCATTAATCCTAAGGGAGATACTTATTTTCGAGATATATAAGCAAGAATATATATATATATATATATATATATATATATATATATATATATATATATATATATATATATATATATATATATATATATTTTTTATTTTTTTTATTTTTTTTTTTTTACAGTATTTATTCTCCCAAAATCATTTCCACTCCACTACATCATTACGTTTCGGGATCCACTTTTATACCCCATCTTTAGACAGTGTCCCATATCATCTCATCTTCCATAAGATTTTGTCATATTATGTTATTTTTTATCGTCATATTCTTTGAAAATTATAGTTTAGTCTCCTCTAGGACCATCAGTGTCTGACTAGGCTCTCCCTAGAGGAGACTAAAATGTGATTTTTAAGGAATATGACGATAAAAAATAATATAATATGACAAAATCTTATGGAAGATGAGATGATATGGGATACTGTCTGAAGATGGAGTATAAAAGTGGATCCTGAAAGGTCATGATGTAGTGGAGTGGAAATGATTTTGAGAGAATAAATAATGTAAAAAAAAATATGTATATATATTCTTACTTATAATTAATTATAATTTTGATTCCCAATCCTTTGTGTCTGAAGTGTTGTGCCTTAGCATAATAAATTATATGAAGTTCTGAGGTATATAAATAAATATTAAGTAACAGCTTTACTCTCCCAACAATTGTTTCTTTATTTTTATGTGACTTTTCAAGATCACTTTATTATCCCATCTTCAGACTGTATTTCATCCTTCTATCATCTTATTTGTTTAAAAATATTTGTCATATTTTTTTTTGTTATATTTTCAAAATTCATCTCTTAATTATATTGTGAACTCACATAGGGAGAGCCTAGTAAAAAAAATCAGTCAGACAGAATTATGACAAATCTTTTTTAAAAAATAAGATAATAAAAGGATGAGTTACAGTCTGAAAATGGGATAGTAAAGAATGTCCTGAAATGTCACATAAAAAGAAAGAAAAAATTACTCAAAGATGTTACTTAATTTTTATTAATATACCTCAAATAAAAAGCATCTTCCTTAGGACTTATGAAAAAATATATGAAGTTAGAAGAGTGATGTTTCTTCCAGAAATTTCACAAGTTGGTATACTTTATCACACACAAAAAAAGCAAACACCATGGTGTCTTTGGATTGGATTATTTATGGTCAGAATAATTGTATTAATAAGTTTCCTAACTTCTTGTTCAATTCCCTCGGTGATAATCACATCACATAAAGAGAGAAATGCACTATTTATAAGCAATACTGCCTTAGTACATTGGGTGCTACATCACATATAATTATCAAATTCTTAGTTAGATATAATGTTACCTAGTTTTTCCCAGCATCATTCGGTGTTCAATAAATTTTACTCAAATGGCCCAATCATCTTGGGACATGATTTTGTATCAATTGATGGATACATTTTGTTTAATGTTTCATTCTAGCATAGATGCACTAAGGCTTCATTGAAGCCTAAATGTAAGTACTGTGTTAGAACATACCAATTGCATCAGCGAATTAGTATATAATATTAGGATCAGTATTTAAGTAGATCTCAGAATCAATAATACAGTCACTGCCAAAGTGTTAAATACCAAATTTTAACTTAAACATGGCGTCCTCCAAACATCCAGAATTCGCAGAATCAGTCACTCCTAGATTGAAGAGGTGTTTATTCAGTTGTCAGTTGGCAATACATAATTCTGTCACACACCTAACAGTACTCCTTTCGATGAGTAGAAGTATTATACTCCTCTTTGGACAGGGTCCTTCTTGGAATGGTTTTTTTTTTTCTAATTCTTTCCCAATGAAGCCTAGTCTTACGAACTATAGGTAGTTTAATTTGTCTTTTTTCATAGCTGTGAATAATGCCTCAGATGCCCTACAGTACAAAAAAACATGTTGCAAGCTTTTCCTCCCAAGGCTTTCTGTCTTTTGGTTGCCGCTGCCTACTTAATTGAGTGGAAATGTCAAGATTTATTTCCAGAGGTAGCCAGAGAAATGGAAAATAAACAGTCCTAGGTGGGAATCAAACCCACCATGTTCAGAACTGGGCACATTGAGACCCATGCTCCAGCGTACTCAGCCATCCTGTCTTTTCTCCTCTCATATATAACATTTGTAGATTAGGCGTAGACTTTTGAGAACTTTGATGTGGAGCAAAAAATGTTTTTGTTTTTTTCATTATTATTATTTGAGTCTCCCATGTCTAATTGTTGCGTTAAAAAATTATTATGACAAAGTTCTTAAAATAGATGCAGAAAGACTGTCATCGAACAGTAGACAAATAGTTCCAACGGTGATTGAGATCTTGAAGATAAGCGCAACTCGAAATATTGACAGTTGACAACAAATAAGTGTTATTTATTTATTTATTTGAAACCTACGCTGCCATTGAGGCAATATGGGTTTTGCAGAACTGGGATGTTACATGTCGCTGCATAATTGCCTGCTTCTGCAACGAGACCAATGTTCATATTTAAATTTGCTGTTTATGGCTTCATTCCGCTCCTCCTAGTTCTGGTGGCCTCCCTGGCGCGGGTATTTTTCTTGTGAGGTTGAAGTGTGCGGATCCAATTGCTACTTTCCACCCATACACAAAATCTTTGTAGTACGGGTTGTTTTCTTCTGTAACTAGCTGAGGGGAATCGGTCTCTGACCTGTCTCCCTCAACAATTTGGCCCTTAGAGACTCAAAGGCGGTGCAGTTTATAATAATGTGCTCAGAATGCTCCGGGATCCCACAGCTAGGGCATAGAGGATCGTCATCTTTTCCAAATCCATGGAGCTTGTATCGAAAGCCCCCATGCCCAGTAAGGAATTGCGAGAGCCAGTAATCCGGGAGGACCCATTTGACTTCCAAACGTGATTGAACGGTGAGGAAGTGCTACCTCAGAGTTGCCCCTTTCGGGCCTGTCACCCACCGTTGATTCCACACTTTAATTGTATCCTCCCGGATAATAGATTTCCATTTTCTGGGATCGATTTATCGATTCTCTCTTTGAGGTTTCCCGGTAGACCTACTGAATCTTCTTTCTTATATATGTACCTGAACATATCTTCCCGCAAAAGGAGTTCGAGAGGCACTCCTCCCGCTAGTAACTGCTCCGCCTCATGAGAAACAGTCCTGTACGCTCTGGTGACTCGCAGCAGAGCCGTTCGCTGGATTGTCGCAACCTTGCTCTTCTATCGGTGCGAGTGATTCCGATTCCACGCAGGGGTCCTAAATGGTCATTGTCGATGGGTATCTGAGGCTCCCTACTCTACTAAGGCCGTTCAGTCATTGGGCCACCCTATTCCGCAGGTAGTCCAAGTGAGGGGTAACATTGAAACCTCTTTCGAATCTGACATCAAGATGGATGATCTCCTCACTTTGACGTATTCTTGTTTCGTGAATCATTATATTGATTGGGTGTGCCCTATCAGTTTTTACTTTCAATAGAATGGCCTCTGTTTTTGAAGTAGAACAACAAATCAGTAAAATGAAAGAGTTTCATTCACCGAAACTTATTAAAATAATTTATGCAAACAACTTCATAAATATTGTATTACAGTCTCCTTGATCCCATATAGGTCATTGGTACATTATTCTCCCTCAGGACCGGTGCATGATCGGGACGTCCCGGGAGGTCACGGCCATGGCGATTGATATTACTGCAAGGTATAAAACTCGCGAACATGCCAAAATAGGCTAGTGGCTGATTTGGAGGGATGGGGAGGATGGAGAGCCTTGCAAACTTTTGCTCTGGGCGTTTGACAAACATGGACATGGAAACAAAGGGTGAGTTATCTTAAAGGTTACCGAACTTTTCTAGCTATGGTATGGACAAAATTTATTCCATAGGTCCACTTAACCCTTCACTACTACTACTAGCGTGCCTCCACAATCCGAATTCCAGCAGTGGCCCCATTTGCAGTTGTCTTGGTGGATTCTCACTGCCCATTCTGATGACCATCTCAGTCTTGCGATCTTCATCACTTGAACTATATCGGGCTCCTTAAACATGGCGTACAGCTCCTGTTTTTTCTCATCTCCTCGGACGAGAACACCATCATCGATATGTCTGAGGATTCTTCTTTTAAAACTAGGAGTTCCTGCTCAGAATCCTTCAATAATAGCGTTAAAAAAGTTTCGTAAGTAGTCGCGCGGGTCAAAATGACTAGATACTATTTTTTATTTTGGTGGTTGGGTGAGCATCTATATAATCTTTCAAATACAGTTTTATCATTTTTCGTATTTGGTATTAGGATTAAAGTGACCAGAAAATTAGAATAGAAAAACTGTAAATTATATTTTTTGACGTTATGAATCACGTTGGGTCAAAATCAAGGAACATACTTTATAATCGATCCGGCTCTTCTTTTATGTCTTTTTTTGTTTTTATATACTTTACATCATGTCATAATGATAAATTACATGTTCTTTTATGTAAATTGATTCTAAATACTGGTCAACAAGAAGAAAAACGAGTAGAGAGAGAATAAATGAATCCACCGATCGAAAGTAGTACATATCACTCTTGGATATGTGGACAAACCAGTGGGACATATTGACTCGACGCTACTAGTTAAGGATTAATAAAAGTCAAATCCTTTAGGGCAGAATTTTACCCACACTGATTCTTACATCCGCCTCGTTGGATTTCGATCCTAAATATCGCCGTCACATTAACATTATTATAAGATTACGGTTTAACAAATATATCTATCATGTTGTTCTAATCAGGACTGAATAAATTGAAAAAAAAAAAACAGTAGTTGGTTAATGGTGAGCTATTTTTCATGTTTGGTATCTTCATTTTGATCCATCAATTGTTGCTTCTATAATCTTTATAATCTTTGGAGCCCCCAGGTACTCCCACATCGCTAGCTGGTACGCCGAGCTGAAGTGGCTATATCAAGCTTCCCAACGGCAATATTTCCTAGGTGTTTTTCATTTCCGAACCTTCATAACAAAAAAACCTTCTTACCTTCTTGGTCTGTTTACTCCAGACTTCTGTCTGTCTCCTCTGTCCACTCTTTCAACATGAGATCCCATCTGAAAACCTGTTTATTCTTTCGTTATAACATAGAACTGTTTCCTTTTAAAAATCTTTGCACATACGTGCTACCTTGTTTTGGAATTCGCTATCTACTTCTGTACGCAGATCCTCATCCTTAACCACATTTAAACACTATTTATTTATCCATTTGCTCAGCAATCGATCTTTCGAATATTTTTAAGTGTAATATTTAATTTATAATATTATAATTTAAATATTTAATTATAATAAGTCCAAATAGGTCTTATTATTGTCATATATACGAGTCGTTTATAATTGATTGAAAGCTTAGATCGTTTGTCTAGTAAGTGCTGCTGTAGTCGAAAACGTCGGGTGGTTTCTAGTCGTTTCAGTCTGGTATGGGGGTTCCAAGTGAGTCGTTTGTCAAGGTGGAGTACTAAGTATCGGATTTGTTCAACAGAGATAAGAGGGCTATTGTTGAAGGATACTGTAGGACAGGAAGTCATAGGCTTACGACGAAGAGTGAAGGTTATTTGATGGGATTTATTTGGAATTTATTTTAATCCTCCAGTTTTGACACCATTTTTCAAGGCTTGTGATGTGTGATTGAAGAGTTTGGGATGCAATAGATGGATCGTTATTAACTGATAGGATACACGTGTCATCGGCATAGGTGGTGATGCCTGTGTTGGAATCTAAAAACAAAATGTTAAATACCATAGAGACTAGTGTTAAAGCGTTTTTGGAGATGTATAAGAGTGTGTTTACAAATAGAAAATGGTTGATATATAGGTATCTGTAAGAAGACAGTAAAATGAGGTGATAGCTCTAAAAAACATAAAAATATTACTCATACATATATTCGAAAGATTGATCGCTGAGGAAATGGATAAATAAATAGTGTTTAAATGTGGTTAAGGATGAGGATTTGCGCACAGAAGTAGGTAGCGAATTCCAAAACAAGCTAGCACGTATGAGAAAAGATTTTTTAAAGGAAACAGTTCTGTGTTATAACGAAGGAATAAACAGGTTTTCAGATGGGATCTCATGTTGAAAAAATGGACATAGGAGACAGACAGAGGTCTGAAGTAAACAGACCAAGAAAGTAAGAACGTTTTTTTGTTGTGAACGTTCGGAAAAAGGAAAACACCAAGGAAATATTGCCGTTGGGAAGGACTTTTAAATATGTTTACCAACTGGGACCCAACTTGCTGTGTCTCCATGAGTGAAGCACAACTCCTATGAGTAGGAGGTAGCAAAACCATGGTTTAAGGTTTGAGTAGTAATAAATAACCACTTACAAAACAACTTCAAACGATAGAATCCTTAGCTGACGTTATACATATATTAGTATTAAGAAAATTAAAAAAATTACCTTAATAATCGTTCTACTAGAATTCCTCCGATTCCATTAGCATCAGTTACAAAAACGTTCTTGTTTTCATAAAATTTCTGTATTTCTGAACCTGCGTTCACAAAATGATTTGAAATGTCCATCCCATCTTCACACAACGACACATTGTCCCTTTTATCGAAATAATCCATTGTTGAACTTCCACTGAACATACCACGTCCACCGATCATCTCAAACTGGCCAGATTATTTAAACATTAAATTATTCAACAATCGATGTCATCAACCCGGATATAATAATTGTGAATGTTTATTCATATATGAGCACGAATATAAATAAGCATGAAGGTATGCCTATGTGTAATTCTATGATTATTATATAGCACCGCTTGATAAAATTATCAATACTCATAGTAGAATGAGTCAACTAATTAATCTTAATATCAGCTATTTTTTAATAAAAATCCTAATAATGCAATGATGAAAGGTATTTTAAAAATATATTTTGTGTTTTACCTTTGTAAGTGACTCATGAATGTAAAATTTCAACCGTTTTTGTTTTCTTTAGACTCAAACATATAAGTAAACCTGTCTGTTAGTTTACAGTAAAATACTTACCTCACTTAGTTGAAATTGATAGAATCTAGAAATGAATCAGATTTTAATATATCTTCTATGTGTTTAGTGTCCATCGTATCAGAACATTTTGTATTTCTATTAAAAGAGTACGTGGATAAAAAAAAAATATTTTTCTATTTTAGGACGTCGTATTTTTAAACATGGCTTGTTTTGTTATTCGGCTGCCATATGTTATTCTACCCTGACTTCCTTTTTTAATTATCTACTCGTTCCTATTATGTTTACCAGATTCCATTTTTATTTAAAACACTTCAAAATATTCATCAGGGGTCTCTGAAATCAAACCTTCTTTCGCGATGGTTACTAACTGCAATAAAGAGACGCTCTCATTTATATTTTAATGGTATGTTAACTGATTATTTATTTGCATATTCCATTTTGGCCAAGGGCTCAGTTTGAAATTCAGGTCCATTCAGTAAGGTTCGTCCACCTTATCAGAAATGACGGAGCTATATTTTAATCTATATGAATATTCATAAAACGATCGATTTATTTAATCAAGTCGATTGTATAACACTGGAGTTTGATATGTGATTGCCTGATCACTATGCTGTCTTAATGGAAAGCATATAATGATCGTAGTTAGATATTTTTTCATTAAATATTTAAAATGTAAAAGCTATCAATTGAGTCCCTTATTTCTGAAGTGATTCTAAATCCATTTTTTTGAAAAACGAAATAAGTATCAACTCCCATGTAAAATCATCCAATGAATCCAATGCTACAATATTTTTTTTTCGAAAACAAACTTAAATATTTAAAAAACAGCTTTGAAAATAAGTTTATTTCCAAAATCATTTTTCAAGAAACGTAGACATTAAAAAAAATAATTCATCAATGATCCGTTTTATTAAAGTGAAAATTAAAAATAAATTTATTTTATTGAACCCTTATTGTAAATAAAATGTTAATTTTTTATGCTACATTTTTAATAACTTTTTTCATTATGAATCCTATATAAACCATAAACCATTTTTTTTTTTTCATATCGACCTCCAATCAACCTTTTTTTGTCCCTAAATAGGAATTAAATATAAACTAAGAAATAATCAAAGATTTTCGAAAATGTATGCTTCAAATAAAAAATTTCTTAATTTTTTTTTTTTTTTGGATATTACGATTGGAATGATGAACAAGTAGAAATAGATCAGCGTATAACTTGCGCAAATAGAGCATTCTTCTTTCTCTCAAAGGTATCGAAATCCCTAAAAATCTCAAGAAATCTCAAACTAAGGGTGTACAATGTTATGATAAAGCCAGTTCTAATAAATGACTGTGAGGCCTGGACATTAATTAGCACCATAGAAGAAAGTGTTGAAAGATTTTAGAGGAAAATTCGCCGCACGATAACCGGAGCGAACTGGGATCAGAGTGCTAGCACATGGAGAAGGAAGACCAACAAAGAACTGCTTATAGAAACTAGTCAGTCAATATCCCACGATATGAAGGCACGGAGGTTAAGATGGGCGGGACATGGAGCTCATAGCAATCCATCTGAAAGCCTCTATGTAACAATAAATGCCTCAATAGAAGGCAAAAGAGTACATGGAAGGGCAAAAAACAGCAGAATCGATAGATAAAACAGAGCTTCGTGCAGATATATGGAAAGAAATTGCCCATGACAGGCAAAGATGGAGCAGGCTTGTTAAGACGGCAAAAGATTTACATGGTCTATAATGCCAACAGAAAAAAAAAAAAGAAATTAGGATTGGAATAGAAATATAATTTTTTGCATTTCTTGAAAAATTGTCAGTGATAATTGCAGTTCATTTTGAAAATAAATGATTCAATTATCAATCTATAATCTAATATCTGTTTCAGAAATTCAAATCCTATAACATTTCCGTTATCTATTTTTCTTGTAAAATAATATCGGGCTTTGACTCAATAAATGGATAGTAACGCCATCTAAAATTAATAATAATAATTCTTGTTTAAAATAGAAAGTTCTTAAAGAAAAGATGGATATTTCAATTTACTTCATAGTACGATATATTTGTCGTTGGCTGTATATCTTTGTTACACGTTCCATACATCCGTATTTTTGAATCATCATCAACATCATCATCATCCGATGCCGCTTTGGTCCTTGGAGAACCTTGACTTCCTCTACTATCTTCCTCCAAACCACGGGCGGATCTCCGGTGGGGGGGGAGGACTTTCGGGGTAAAGCTCCCCAAAATGGTAAAATATATCGATATTTTATGGAAAAATATATTAAAAATTATCTCTTAAAGTATTATTGTTCGTGTAATTACATTTAAAAGAACTTCAGGAATCACTTAAACACCATTTCATATAGATAGTTAGTTTCCTAATTATTTTCCAAAGTAATTATCGTCATTTTATGAAAAAAAAGCTTTCGGACTGAAGCCTCCCCCCAAAATTAAATCCTGGATCCGCTAGTGGTCCAAATCTTCCTTTCTTCGGCCGCCCTTCTCCATCTAACTACACTCAGACTCTTGAGATCGTTTTCGACACCTTCCAGCCGACGAAGTCTAGGCCATTTTTCTTTCTTCCACCCGGGTATCCCTCCATCATCGTTTTAGAGAGCCTGCTATGTTCCATTCTTGCACATGATTCGACCATCTTATGCTTCCCCTCTTTCTGATGTATACAATGTCTAGGACATTATATAGCTTCTCATTATCAGCTTTTCATTCATCTCATCCACCTAATATTTTAGGTGGACTAATATTTTAGGAATTCTACAAAGGATTTTTCTTTACAGCCTGTTCAATAGCCCCTCTTCGTTGAGTGTGTGTCAAGGACTCATTTCCATATATTTTACAAATAGTATTTTTGATTATATAAATGTAATGGAATAGCAACTCTCTTTAAATATAATTTACTATCGTTTTATTTTTAGAAATTTATTGATTATAATTTGTAATTTTGAAGAGGCTAGTTTTTCTTCTTGGGGGAGTGTTCAACTTTTATTGTTAAGTACTTTTATAGGTAGGATTTTCTGGAGGAATCTACAGCATCATCGTTGCCTGTCATTTGGAGATCAATCAGGTGGTTGAAGTTCAATTACCATGGATGCATCACAACTGCCAACAACTCCTCTCCCAAAATCTTGAACGATTTTTTGGAACTGACTTGAAGCGGATGTAATCTATGAGGAATTTCTCTCATGTTTAAACAGATTCATAATTAAAATTACTTATTACTCTCATGTATTTGTTCTTTATCGTATCTCAGGCTCAAGATAAAATCTTTCTTATATTGTTTCTATGTAGAGTAATTTCCAGAGTAAATCCTGTTTATACAAATTATACAATGATTTATTATTCATATAGGTGATAATCTATTACAAACAATATAAAAGTTCTTCAGCATAATTATACTGTATTCAAAAAGATATATATATTTTAACTTTTAAAATAATATTTTTTTAAGGCCTTGGTTTAATGATTCCAAAACACTTTACATGTTTCCTCTATCTTCATAAATGGCCGAGATATGAACATTTGAAATTTCTAATCGGGCGCCATTTCAACAGAAAATGGCGGAGAGTAACAACGACTTCCATAGGTTATCCTAGGGTGACCTGAGATAAAGGTACGATACCTAAAATATTCACTTTGTAGTCTGGGAGGAGCGTCGTGGACTGCGGACAAATGGGGATTTTCATTCCATTATTCTTTTGTATTGAATGGATTCTAAGTGCCTTGTTACGTAAAACCTCAATTTTTTGATATAATTATTGATTATAATTAACTATAAAATTAATTCAACCATTAAATTTTTGTTTGAATCCACTATCTAATAAATGAATAGACAAAATAAAACAACAAACAAATTTTTTATTTCACGATTTGAAAATCATCCTTATCGAATGAAGTGTTCCACTTCATAATCGCATAATACATTGAAATTATAAACTCTAGATACAATAATTTAATTTAAAAATTCATAAAATACATAATAGTAAAAATTAATATTTATAATTTTCTTGATATTTTCTTTAAAAAAACAAAAATTATAACAAATCATCAATATATTTACATAGTGTTCAGAGAATCAATTCTCTGGCACAGTGGAACTTTATGAGCTGAAATTTGTTTCTGTGTCTATTTACAACAGTCTAATATACATAAGTTTCTATACAAATCACAATACTTTTTTTGTCTTGTGTATTAACAATATTTACAATAATATATCACAGTCAGAGTACGGTCTACCGCGTCCTTCCTTCGTGAAGAGCTGCCGGCGGATTTATGAACAGCTGGGAATACCTGCTATGCCTCCATATGACCTTTTCGTGCTGTCTCTGCTTCTGCCTGTAGCTGATGATGGTGGCAGTTCTTCTGCTATTCTTCCAGAAGATGCCGCTCCTCCAGGCGTACCGCAAGTTTGCGAAGAACACCAATATAAGACCTGCGCCGAAACATCCAACGATGAAGGCTTTCTGGAGCATCGGTCCGATTTCGGTCAGCAAGTAAATGACGAGGTTCACCGAAAATGGTAGGTCGATAAGTTCCTTAAAAAAAAAGAAAAAGAAAAAGCTAGGTGATAAACATCAGAAAAAGTCTTGAACATTCAAAATATGCTTCTACGAAGAACTTACAACTTGCATCCAGAATATCGGGATGACCAAATTGTTGAACCTCTTCACTCTCGGTATCATTTTTGTCTTTTTTACCACCAGATTGGTTTGCAGTCTTATATTTACAGTCACGGGTACCCCAACTTCCTGAAATAATAAAAAAAAAACTTAATGATTTATCTATTGATACTATTTGAAAAACTGCAATACTAATCACAAAACCGGTAACTGACGTTTTTCGTTGAATTTAAATTTTGATAACTCCCCTAAGAACAATGCAACATGATAGTCCGTGGTACAGATCCCTTTTTATCAAATTATTAGCATCCGCCTGAAACATCCTAAATAGTTACATATCATTTTCTATCTGGAGATCGCAAACTTTGTCTATTTAAATACGTACTAAATACTCGTGAACAGATTCGTAATATAATTTGATCCCAAAATCGAGAAAAAAAAGGTGGTCTATTTATTTTGACATTTTGGGTTGTAAGTCACACCAAACTGTTCAATATTTTTGAAGATAACTTTTTTTTCTCGATTTTGTGATCAAATTATCTTACGATCCAAGTGGAAAGCAAATGGGTATTTACGAGTTTTTATTTCCTAACTAAATAGACAAAGTTTGCCGACCTCCAGATTGAAAATGCACCAATTTCAAGAGTTTTCGTAAATAAAATAGTTGTAGTTTACCATGAGATGAAGCTATTTACGAAGTTTCAGGCGGTTATTAATAATTTGATAAGAAGGGGTCTGTTCCATGGACTAGGAATAATTGTTTGTTTTAAGAATGGTCGTTTTAAGGCTCCCTTGGCCCTGAAATAAAAAAATCTGCGTTCCATAATCTTTTCCCCTCGTTCCCCTTCAATTGCAAATAAAAAACTAGGGCACCTCCACCATTATCACATTACTGGTAATATTTGTTTGTGTTCATTAAAATCATTCACTTACCTAATCAGTGAATGATTTATAGAACAAATAAACAAAAGAAGAAGTAGACATCAGAACTTCATACACTATTTTCTCAGCTTTAGCTGAAATGAAGCGAACCCATTTTGTGGTTCGCTCTGCAGAAAAATCAACATCAATCAGAAGTTTAAGAACAAATGCTTTTACAGTATTCTTAACAAGTATTATGAAAGCAATACGTAAACAATCTTTTCATCGGGATCGATATATGTTTGTAAACCATAACCATAATCTCCAAAAGGATTAAATGTGGTTCCAAGATTAACTTCTCAAAAATATTCTCTACTAACATCATTTTCAGATGATAACAATATTGAAAAGTAGCACTTACTGCCTGGATGCCGACAGACGAACTATGCTTTTTGTAGTCCGGTGAAACACCATCAAGTGCTTCGTGTAGAGATTTATTCCCGTTCAAGAAGTGAGGTAATGAGATGGCTACTGGAAAATCTAAACACAAACATCAGTGAAAGAAGGATTAAAGATTCGAAAATCTCTCAGTAATCAAAAATAAATTTCAACTTTGATTGTTTGAATTTTACGTACTGTAATAGCATGGTGACAAATCTGATAGTCCTGATGGGAGGCAGGCTTCTTGCCGATTTTTGCAGTAGCAGGCGTTATCCGGGTTAGACGGATCCAAAAGGTTTTTAGCGAATTTGAACATGTAGATCGGGTATCCGGTCCGGCTTACACCCGTCCTGTCGTACTCGATCGTCAAAGGTCTGCAGAAGGCTCTTCGGTAAATGGTGAATGACTGATTCTTCTGGATGTTGTTTGGAAACAGATAGCCCTCCAGTGTTCCTTCAACTCTGTTGCAATGGTTGGTCCTAGAAATGAGTACACAATTAATTATTTAACTTTGATATAACTGGATCGGAGTAGTTAAAAGAATTGTTTCTCTTAGCCCAACTAAAAGACAAGAGGTGCCCATCTCCCTCCCCTCCGTCCCAAGGTCGATGGGGCAAGAACCAACCCCTTTCCCTCCTCCCAGGATATTTTATTAAAAAACAAAGTTTTATTCTTAGTTATTTGGCAATAATTACTTTCAATTGGTAACAATTGAATATATTTCTTATATTATCAACGTTACATGTTAACAAGTTGACGTTTCGGGATATTTACTTCTCCCATCTTCACAACTACAATCCCAATAACCTTGTGGATGCAAGGCTAAAAAATTGTTTGAGTCAAAATATAGTGCATGTTACATTACATTGTAACAACAAAATTCTAACATGTAATGTAACATGCACTATATTTTGACTCAAAAATTTTTTTAGCCTTGCATCCACAAGATTATTGGGATTGTAGTTCTGAAGATGGGAGTAAATATCCCGAAACGTCAACTTGTTAACATGTAACGTTGATAATATAAGAAATGTATTCAATTGTTACCAATTGGAAGTAGTTATTGCCAAATAACTAAGAATATTAGACAACTTCCCAAAAAATAAAAAGTTTTATTATTATTTACGGTACATAGAGTTTGAATGTGATCTCTGAACAGTAAATGTCGAGATGATCAGTCAGATATAGTCAATCTATCCCAGCGAGCTCTAGGAACAGCCCTGATGAAGGCCTGAACTTTAGGTCGAAACGTCGGCAAATATCAAAAGAAATATTATTATTTATTTTTGCCTTATTATTTCTGATTGTTCACCCCAACCATTCTTCTCTTCATTATTTACGACAGTCAACCATTAATCCACTATTGTTATAAATGTCATTTGAGACAAATTGTAATATTTTTCAATAAACAAGTTAAAAAACAAAGCAAGCTAAGGTAGAATTAGAAAAAGTATAGATCATAGACAATTACACATGATTCCATATTTTAACCTTCTCCGAAAGTTCGTAACCCCGTCGATATTTGTCCTCTTCAAAAATTCAAAAACCTTTCAAAATATGTCCTCCTCAAAAATTTTTATGGCGCAAGTTGCGCCATGAAACTCCCTCCTGGGGCACCCCTGCGAAAGACCCACGGCATTCTTTGCATTGATTGGAGAACCTACATCGTTCGATGGGAACTCAGATGCAATATTTATAAATAAATAAGATATCCTAAAGAAAACACTAAAGAAGTTGCGTTACATTTGATTTCTGTCTTTACCTGTCATCATCCTCCGGTTTGTATCCCCACTGCTGGAGTCCAGGAGAGCCATTGAGCCTCTGTATCGAGAACTGGCTAGTTTCGTTTGTGTTCTGGAGACTCATGGTGACCCTGTTGATTCCTTCGTCCAACATCTAAAAATAATGTTAACAATAATTTTAAATTTATTGTAACTCTATACTTCTTGTAAATCTAATATTCTCTCAATACCCACTAATATTCTCTCATTTTTCAACTATGGGTTGAAAAATGTGAACCGCGCACTCTTGGAGTACACCAACTTTCCTCTTTTAATTCGAATTAGAGTTATTTAAATTATCCATCTTATAAAAATATTATCAGCACTTTTTTACTGTTGTTACTTATCTAATTTTATTATTACATTATTTACATTATTATAAAAATACTAGTTGGCCCGTGCGAAAAATTAGCATCAAATTAGCAAATAGCAAAACAATATGAAAATAAGTAGTTAATATGTATTATGTAAGGAATGAATTAATATTTTTTCCTTGGACGATTACAATATTCCATTAAACATAAGAGAAATAATAGGAGATATTTTTAAACGCTGACTGTAATATAGACAAAATAATACCCCGATCATGGAATATTCTAAATTATTAAAAAAATAAAATGTAAGAACAACCAAATGTCTTTAAGAAATAATAAAGTTAATATATCAGATAGGAAAAAAAAATGTAGTCGACTATTCTATTCCCAAATGCAATATCTTAAAATCGGAAGACATTATTAAGTATACCAAAACTAATGGACTCTATCTTTGTTAATAATTGACCGATTTTTACTATCTTTTTTTTTGTTTTGTAGTTAATTTAGTAATCTTTCTATTAAAATTGTGAATATGTGGAAGAATATTGAAGTTATAACACTTTTTGTGATTTTCGAAATAAAATCAATGGGGGGAGGGATCCTTAGTTCAAATTTGTAGAGAAAAAAATTATTTTTCGATCCCAATGAAAATTCGTATTTGAGGGTCTTTCGAAATGCGAAATACAAATCTCAACTCTGTTTCTCCTTGAAAAAATATTTCAACACACTTTACTCCTTCCGTCAATACAAATTGTTTAAATTATACATATTTCTTATCGATTTTTATATTTTTACTTTTACATACTTTTTGAGTTATTCGCGAATAAAGTTTCTTTTCCTTCATAGCTTTTTTCCAGAAATTTTGAGGGGATAGAACTATTTTCCGCATGTGAAGGAGAAGAATATCTTCAAAATGAGTGGTCAATCACTGGATTTGATGAAGAATTGACGAAGTTATGGCGTACCGACAAAAAAACGCCTTTTAGAAATAATATATAGAATACAATAATAATTCTTATATGCGCAAGATTATTTATCTATAAAAATGGTTATACATTTTAACAAATATTAATTTATATTTGTAAATTAATATTATTAAACTTAATATTATTAAATATTAAGCGGCTTAAAATGTCTAGAATTCAGACGAGGCAAACAACCCTTTAATCGGTAGCGGATTTATTTTAGAATTTTTTTGTTGTTGTATTTCTACGCAGATAAAGTCACCTGTTTCGGCCACTTCTATCTCCAAAATAATCATCGTTTTAAATTAAAAACTAAGTGGAGGTGATTATTATATTTAAATATGCATTATTGATGTATTTTTTATATTTACAAATCCGTTTAAATAAAAAATATATATTAATTAGAAAAAAAAAAATCATAGAATTATAGAAGAAATAGAATTCAAGCTATGAAGGGAAAACAAGATTTTAGTTTTATCTCTCCTTTTCTCTATCCTAGATTAATTCTTATGTTAGATACGCCGCTGAGATTCCATTATAGAGATGTTTTGTTATTTTTATGCCTCGCTGGTCTCTCATATTTCAAAACGCACATTTGCTATGACAGAGAGCTATGAATATTTAGAAAAGTTCTTATATTTTATTACATTACTGCTCCGAAGTTAGAAGTTAAGCAAGCGAGTGTTAACGATTTCAAATTTTAAAGGAAGAAACAATATAAATTTAATAAAGTAAAGGTTTCGTAATTACCCTGTCCAGGATGCCAAATTGGGCGAAGTTGATCCAGGATGGTAGGACGTTCTTCGCCAACCTCACCAGTGGGTCCTCGTAGCCCCAGAGGAAGGAGCTGACGGAGAGGTTGAGGATCGGTTGGGAGTCGAGGTAACTGACCAGGGTAGACAAAGCCAGGTTCAAGCCCGTCGAAGAATTGTGCAACAATGAAGCAATCCCCTATGGAAAAAAAAAAATGTGAAATCAGGCATTCAAAATAAGTAGTTTTTTGAAGAAAAAAGAGAGTAAATGAGCCGTCAGATCTCCGAAGTGTAACGCTCAGGTAAAGTCGGCTGGAGTCGACTAAATACTTTATTGAAGTGCTGAAGTCGACTAAATACTTTATTGAAGTATTTTTGCATATCAATTGAAATATCTCAAAAACTAAAAATCAGACCTGCATACTGTAAATGTGGGAATTGTTCAACATGAAAATAAGTAGCTTTTTGAAGAAAAAAGAGACTAAATGAGCCGTCAGATCTCCGAAGTGTAACGCTCGGATAAACTCGGCTGCAGTCGACTAATTGAAGTATTGTTGCATATCAATTGAAATATCTCAAAATACTAAAAATCAGACTTGCATACATTAAACGTTTATCAAAATATCTTAACGCGACACCGTGTTAGGAGGGCAAAAAGGAAAAAATAGTATCGAAAACCAATTTATAACCAGTTTTATTAAAAATTAAAACATCTCAGAAACTAAAAATCGGACCTGCATACTGTAAGCTAGAGAATGGTTCAGTACTTCATGCTCTTTATAATGAGGTATAATTTAAATTTATATTTCATATCATTAAGCTCGAACGCGTATAGGGAGCGTCCCACGAGTGACGGTTGTGGGGATGGTCGGTGGAAATTCCTTGGAAGTTCCTCCCGGCTAAGTCCAATGGACTCGCTGACCTACAATGAGAGGGGCAATCCAGACTTGCTGGAGGCAGGGAATCTCCAGACTTGCTGGAGGCAGGGTACCTCCAGACTGCCTGGAGGGTGTGGCGTAGGATTGAACGCCCTGCTCACATATGTTTAGTACACCATACACCACAAAGGGTGTAATAAGTGATTGATGGTATCGTCATCGAACCTTCGAGTTCTCAAAGCTTTTATTATTATTATTATTATCTATTATTTATTACTAATCTCTCCCTGTTGATGTTTTCACTTCTATCGTGTGGTCTAAATATACCTTAGTTTTTTTTATTTTTGTTTTTACTCTGCTAATTATATTTTCACCAATGTTATGCTTGATATAAAAAATACTTACCAATAGTGGAATATTTGCTACCGTCACAATATCAACGTCTGGGTCACCAATTGACATCTCCGGTTCAAACTGTACGTTCCTCCTTGGCGTGAAAGACATGGTCTTATTGTTATTCCAGACAATTTCTTCATTAACAACGGTCTCACTAAAATTCAAATAGATACATTAAAAACATATATATTAAATCTCGGATAGCCTAATATAAAAAACGGCTTTAAGTATAATTTCACTACTTCGGTGCAAGCATATGGCGTATCTGCGTGTATCTCCTCAATAGAGTACTTTTTAATGTTCGTCGATGAAGATAAGATCATAACAATAAAAATCCAAAAGTAAGAAGTTATCCGGATGAATATTTGTAAACATAATTAACGTTAAAGAATGGTGGTGGGGTTGGAGCTACGTCACCAGAGTGAAGTCAAGGATACGTCATAGTCTGCCAGCGCTAAGTTAATACCGTTGATTATTTTATACTTATTAGATTAGAATACTGTTTATAGCTTCTCTGAATAAACTTATTTAATTTAGTATGCATTTTATTTTCTTAGATTTTTTTATAAATGGGTATTTATAAAGTAGAGGTGGGAGACACTTCGACAGTAACGTGTTTGGCAGCTCTTTACGTCACGCGAAGGAGGACTTGGGCCACACAACCAGTCCTCACTAAATCTCTGAGACTCACTGTTATATAAAGTTTTGACTAAATATGAAACTTGTTTTATTGTTTAAAAAGTGCAATATCAACTAATACATCAAATCGAATTTTATTCGACCTCAAATTTACGCCATTTATTTTTCTATTCAAGTACCCAATTCACAGGCGGATAAAGGGGGAGGAAGGAGTTTGGGCTGAAGCTTCCCCTCCCCCAAAATGGTAAAATGTAACCATGTTTTATGCTAGAAAATATTAAAAAAATATGTCTTAAAGTATTATTGCTCGTGTATTTACATTTAATAGGACTTAAAGAATCACTTAAACACCATTTCATAAAGGTAGTTAGTATCTTTCTTTTTTTCATAAGTAATTGTCGTTATATACATGGAAAAAAAAGCTTTCGGGCTGAAGTCCCCTCCCCTAATATTTAATCCTGGACCACTAGTGACCCAATTGATATATTCATTTATCCATCCTCAAATTCTGTTGATTACACGCTAATGGGATTCAGATTTACGTATTAACTTCTCATTCACTTAAGCAGTCGTATGGATTATCAAATAATTACATAATGTTCCAGTAAATTGATTATGGATTGCAGTCATGACCGTTTCCTCATTATCAAGGCCGGGCAGGAGTCCCTTCGGAATATAGAGCCTGGTTCTTGATCTTAAGCTTTGTAAACAAGAGATCATCTCGCTGTGAGTGCCAGATCTGCAGTAACTGCATTCTCAGCTTTCCGATAACCTCCCAAAATAATAACTAACCTAATTGCATCTAAAAACTCCTCCATCCTATTCCATTTGTAACTATTTGAAACATTGAAGCATGGCTTACGTTTTTTTTTGTATAAGAATTATTATACTCGTTTTATGATAAAAAATATTCCTCTATGAGCAGGACTGTCTATCTCCCTCTCAAGATCTATGACACACGAGCTTCCCCTCCTAAGACATTCTATTGTTCTTCTCTTGTTACAAAGAATGCAAGTCAAAGTAATTAGAAAAATTGTAGGTCAAATAGAATTACATTTGCTGTGGTTTGTTTTTTGTTATTCACTTGTCCTCTGGTTTCAAAGTTTCTCAAAATTGAAACTCTTAAAAATTTGCTTCCCCCCAAAATTACAAAAAAAAAAACAACATAAAAATGTGCCACATTAAAAATTAAATAAAACATAAAAATTTACTCCTTTAAAAATTACAAAAAAAATACATGAACATGTGCCCCCTTAAAAATACGAAACCGAAGAAAAATGTACCCCTTTAAAAATTAAAAATCCCATAAAAATGTGCTCCCTTACAAATACCAAGCTCCATGAAAATATGCCCCATTAAAAATTCAAAATCCCATAAAAATGTGCTCCCTTAAAAATACAAACCTCCATAAAAATGTGCCCCCTTAAAAATCCATAACCTCCATAAAAATGTGCTACTTTGAGTAGTAATTAATTATTATTTAAAATTATTATTGCGACTAACATAATCTATTAAACTAATGTAAAGCTATTACCATATTTTTTTACTATCAGTAAATACTGCTTGAAATAAATATTTTCTGCAGCATGCATGCACTTTTTTTCGTCTTCTCTACCAATACTATCATAAAATAATTTTTTTTAAAAGTATATTATGATAATTCCCTTTGTTTCTCTTTAATTAATAATAAAATTCTTTCATAAATTACTAGTTGACCCGTGCGAATAATTTGCAGAAAATTTAAGTAGGGAATAATTAATTGTTTTTGTTGTATCGATTACAATATTCCATTTAACATAATAGACCTATGCTTTGCTGGGACTTATTTCTAACCGCTGACTGGTACACTCAAATAAAGCCTCATATTTATCTAAATTATTAAAAAATATAAAATGTACAAAGAAAAAATGCCTTTAAGAAATAATGAAGTATATATCACCCAGGAAAAAACCAATAGTAAAATAGTAAATGCAGTATCTTTAAAGAGGAAGAAATTATTAAGAATACCGAAACAAATGCACTGTTTCTTAGGGTAATAATTGTCCGATTTTAACATTTTTGTTTTTATTTTGTAGATAATTTAGTAATCTTTCTAATAATGATGGGTACGGTACAATCAAGAAATGCATAACTTTTTGAGTTATTCGCAAATAAAATTTCTTTTTCTTCATAACTTTTTTTCCTTAAATTTTGGGGGAATGTGACTATTTTAACCACCTTCAGGCAGAGATGGGTAAATGCTACTCTTGAGTACTGTGTATCGGTTACATTACTCAAATACTGACCTTTTTTGAGTACCAAAGAATTTAATTACTTCTTCAGTTGATGACAAACGATTAATTGAAGTAGTGATCGAATTCTCGATAGTGATACAATTTAAGTAAAATACTTAGTACTCAGAGTTGCATTTGCCCGTCTCTGCCTGAAGGTGAAGAAGATCTTTAAAATGAGGACTCCATCATTGGATTTGATGAAGAATTGACGAAGTTATGGCATTGCGACAAAAAAAAAACGCCTTTTAAAAATAATATATGAGATTTATGTCAATGTTTTATTTATTAACAACGAAAAACGCTTCGATTTCAAATAAACCAGAGCAAAGCTATTGTACCTTAAAGGAAACCATTTCGAAAATTCAGCATTTATGTTCGGCATTCCAAACTTTTCCAATGAGTATAAGAACTAGCTCAGTTTAAAAACCATTGGATTGGTACATTAATTATAGAGTTTATAATCGTTAAAGAGGCTTCGAAAAATGTGTTAAAACGTTTAAAAAATCACGTAACACTTCCGGTTAATTGATTTGGACGAGAAAAATCATGTAACCTTCCTGAGAATATGTATACCTTAATTACGTAATGTCGGTTTTGACTTTACGTTTTCGACTTAGGCTGTTCATTGGCACACAAACTATATTTCGATATTTGGTTATTTTGGTTTAAAGGCCATTTAAATGTTGTTGTTTTTTTTCTGTTAATAAATCAGGTTTGAAAATTTTCACAGTCGCATACATTTCAGATATAAGCAAGTGAAAATAATAACTCCACAGATTTATATTGTATTTTTTTTTTAAATTTTTATGTCCTAACTGTAATTTTTTTAATTTTGAAGATTTTGTTACAAGCATGCCCTAAATTTTATTCTTCTTCCTTCAAAAAATTTCCTTAGCTTCTGAATATTTTTTCTACTGTTGTGTATGCCCATTGTTTTCGGTTTCAGTTTTCGCTTTTGTCCCCTCAAGGCAAATAAATCTTATAATTTCTTAAATTATATTTCTTTGAATCCATCAATAGCCATTTTAAAATATTCTTGAACATTTTGTTTATTTTTTTAGTTTCATTGTCTGTATGTTTTTTTCTCTCCTTCATCTCCTATTTTCATACCTAATTATTTTGATAAATTAATTTTAGTTCTTCCTACCCATTACTATTCGCGCTTCCAACATAAAATTTCTTATTTATAATAAAAATTAGTTTTTTTTCGCTTTTCACTCAGTTTAGTCATTGGAACGTCTGAAATATACAGTTCTTTCGTATTTTCAACTGCATTTTTTCTTCCTCAAAAACCTATTTTGATTGGTCAAAATAAGTAATAAAATACGTAAATAATGGCTGAAATGGGCTCATTGCATGCATTACTTATGATGCCTTATTTTTTGACATAAATTATTTATTAGGGACAATTTAGTTTTAGACATCAATACATTCATTTGGTAACTGTTTCGTTTATTTTTATGAGAGCTATTTTATGTTATTGTAATTTTTGTTGAACTGCGTACTTCTGTTTTTTTTTCTACCTTATATTATGACCAGAAATGTATACAAACATGAAAGATTATTTATTAACTTCTCAAAAGAAATTATATTCTCGTATGAAGTTTTTTTTTTCCAAGCTCAGACAGGCCTTGTCTGATTCCATTCTTTACAAACTAAATTTTTGAACCTACCTTGAAGCTACGCATTATGGCGAAACATGCAATAAATTACTAAACAGATAAAAAGGAAAAACCTGTAAGTGTATGGACCAACTTCTGCTACCCTCAGTTTTTTGTCTTCTCCGTTGAGAAATTGTGCAGCGTTTGTTATGTTGAAGATAAAGACCTTTATGTACAATTTTATAGGCGGTGCTTTCCACATTCTATATATGTAGGAACCTTCTCTCATATTCATGTTCTAAAATAAAACTATATTATAGATAACGATAGTAAGGGATATGTTTAAATATATATTTATTCTTAATTAGATATACATATAATCTATAATTATTTTTTTTTTAATTTATGATGTTTACAACTGTATTAATAAATAAAGAATATTTAATAGTTGACCGTTGCATTAAAAAGGAAGGAGATAGTCCGGATTGGCGGTCATGAATAGCCTAAATAGTGGTAAAACTATTTTTATTAAAAGAAAACGTTTCGACCCGACTTTGCAGGTCTTCTTCAGGGAGTGTGTTCAGTGAAACTCCTAGCTGAACGCACTCCCTGAAGAAGACCTACAAAGTCGGGTCGAAACGTTGGCTTTTAATAAAAATAGTTTTACCACTATATAGCCTATTTATGACCGCCAAACCGGACGATCTCCTTCCTTTATTAATAAATAAGATACATTTAATAAATTTGATAACAGAAAATAATAACATGAAATCACTTGTTGAGAAACTACCCACTGGTAGCACTGTAATAATATGTCTGCATTAGGAGATCACGGGGCCATCTTCTTTTCAGACGCCTCGGAGGCTTATCAAGAATTGAAGAGGAAGGAAGGTTAGAAACAAGAGGGTTGGGATGGTTATGAAGTTTATTATGGAAGGATTAGTATCTGGATTGGGCCAAATCGGAAACATAAGGAACATTAAGGTCTTTATGGATTATTTTATTGGTGACAAAGTAAGGAGCATTGAGGATTTTTCCGAAGGATTTTGGATTGTAACGATTGGATACGAGAGGAATTCGATGGCTTAGTGGAGCCCCAAAGCTGAACTCCGTAAGTCCAAATATGTCTTATTGTACTCATGTATATGAGTCTTTGGTAATTAACTGGGAGCTTAGAGCGTTTGTCTAGTGTTGGAGTAGTCGGAAACCTCGAGCGGTTTCTTGTCGTTTCTGTCTGGTATGAGGATTGATGTTGGATTGAATCCAAGGTATCGGATTTGTTCAACAGGGATAAGTGGGGTATTATTAAAGGATACTGTAGGACAGGAGTAGTCTTGCCCAAAATCGGTCTTGGTCTTGCACAGTGCGACCCAACTAGACCAACACCAAGGTCGCCTAACTGTTGCAAGACCAAGACCAGGACTGGTAAAAAAAATCGATTTTTAAATAAAATTTAAGTCACAATATTTACTAATACTTGACAATCTTCGTTGCTATATTTAACTACTCTAATTATTCTTTCGGGCTTAGATAGCTTTCACCTATCTAAAAACTTGCAGTATTATCTCTATAGCAATAAGCTAATAAGTAACTGCTAGACTCTTGCGCAAGACCAAGACCATGACAAAGACTGATTTTGCAAGACCACGACTCGTCTCGGTCTCGCATTTCGGCAACACTAGACAGGAGGTCTAGTCTAGTCTAGGGGAGCTAGTCAGGATGCTCGGAGGAGGCAGCCCCTCTACCTGACTCGGGGGCAGTGGGCTGATAACCCACCCCCCCTAAAGTACCTTATTACGAAACCTCAAAGAGAAGAAGCCGGACTGAATTACGGTAACAGACCCAGGAAACGCCTAAATGACCTAAGAATTGGATTTTGGAACATTTTATCATTACATAGACTAGGAGCACTTCGTGCGCTCCTTGCAGAAGTGGACACATACAGAATCGACATAGCAGCTATCCAAGAGGTCCGATGGATAGGACAGGGAATTATGGAGAAGAAGTACCATACACTCTACTATAGCTGCCATGAAAAGCATCACATCTTCGGTACCGGATTTGTTGTGAGAGGCAGAGCTCGACAGTTGGTGATGCGATTTACTCCCATTAACCAAAGGTTATGCTACATTCGGCTTAGAGGAAAATTTTTTAATTTCTCTCTAATCAACTGCCATGCCCCAACAGAGGTGTCACCTGAGGAGGATAAGGAAGCATTTTATGAAGAACTTGGACGCGTGACAGAAAGCTGCCCCAAAAATGATGTTAAAATCATTCTTGGTGACTTTAACGCACAAGTTGGTAAGGAGGTGGCACTCATGCCGACCATAGGAACCCACAGCTTGCATGAGACCAGTAATGATAATGGGCTACGGATGGTGAACTTTGCTACATTGCACGGACTGGTTGTTGGAACAACTCTTTTTCCTCGAAAGAATATCCACAAAGCAACATGGATCTCTCCAAATGGGCAAACAGCATCACAGATAGACCATGTACTCATTAGTGCCCGTCACAAGTCCAACATGATAAATGCAAGATCTTATAGAGGTGCAAATATGGACACGGATCACTATTTGAGCATTGCCGAGGTCAGATCACGAATTTCGCTGATTAAAAACCACTACCAACGACCAAAGAAGAAGATTGATGTGGTTAAACTTAAGGACTCAGACCACCAATATTCGTATCAACAAGCTGTGGAGACGAAACTTAACGAAGAAGTAATTAATGACAGCTCTATGGTCGATGAACAGTGGAAGAGATGCAGCAACGCAATGAAACAGGCAGCAGAAGAAGCTCTTGGCTACGAGACTAAATCTAGAAGGCCCCCATGGTTTGATGCTGAGTGCCTTCAAGCAGTAAAAGTGAAAAATGAAGCCTACAGAAAGAAGGTTCAGCGTCCCACAAGGCTCTCCCAAGAAACATATAGAAGAAAAAGACGCGAAGAGAAGAGATTATTCCGCGGAAAGAGAAGAGCTTGGGAAAATAAGAACATGGAGGACACAGAGGCATTGCGAGGCCAAAATGAAAGTCGCCTGTTCTTTCAGAGAATAAACGAGGGTAGGGCAGCTTTTAGGCCCAGAGTGACGGCATGCAAAGACACAAATGGAACTCTTTTAAGCCACAAAGATGACGTACTAAGGAGATGGGTACAACATTTCAAAGGCGCATTAAACAGAGGAACGGTGCCTGGAGAAGTAGGTGTAATGAAGGAAGACTCCCTGAATTCTATTGAACCCCCGGATGAGGAGGAAATGGAAAACGCCCTAAGGAAATTGAAAAATGGAAAGGCGCCAGGCCCGGACGGAATCCAGTCAGAGCTGTTGAAATGTGGAGGTGAAGAACTCAAGAAAGCTCTGCATGATTTAATGCTGACCATCTGGGAGAAGGAAGCTATGCCTACGGAATGGGCAACAGCCATTATCTGCCCAATACATAAGAAAGGAGATCAAACAGAATGCGCTAACTATCGAGGAATCTCACTCCTTTCGTGTGCTTATAAGCTGCTCTCTAACATTCTTTTTGAGAGGATCCTCCCGTATTCTGAAAAGGAACTGGGGAAATATCAGGCTGGATTTCGAAGAGGACGCTCAACGACTGATCAACTGTTCTCTCTGAGGATGATCCTAGAAAAGACTATGGAGCGTAAGGTAGTCACCCACCATTTATTCCTGGACTTTAAAGCAGCATACGACAGCGTTGATAGAACGCAACTATACTGTGCCTTGGAGGAGCTAAGCATCCCTCAGAAGCTCGTACGCCTAATCAAGATGACCATGGACAGCTCGAGATGCAGAATACGCGTCGGTTCTGACGACTCCGAAGAGTTTAAAGTGAGCAGTGGGGTTAGGCAAGGGGATGCCCTCGCCTGTCTATTGTTCAATTTGGCAGAGGAGAAAGCTGTAAGAGACTCCGGTATTCAGACCAAAGATATAATCTTCAATCGCCTGACACAGCTTCTTGGTTTTGCTGATGATATTGACATAGTAGGTAGGTCTGAACGGGCTCTCAGAGAAGCGTTTATAAGCCTTGAAGCAGCTGCAAGACCACTTGGTCTAGAAGTCAACGAGAGGAAAACTAAGTATATGAGAGTTGGCGGTGAGGTTGATCTGAACTCTCCATTTGAGGTAGGTTCTTTTAAGTTTGAGAGAGTGAAAAGTTTCATATACCTTGGGTCTGAAATCAATAGCAAGAATGACATGGCTCAAGAAATACAAAGAAGGATCACGGCTGCCAATAGATGTGTCTTTGGACTTGGCCGACACTTAAGAAGTAGGTACCTCTCAAAGAAGACCAAGCTGATCATATACAAGACCCTTGTTCGGCCTGTTTTGACATATGGCTCAGAGGCTTGGACGATGACCAAAAGGGATGAGATGAAGCTGAGTGTCTTTGAGCGAGGAGTCCTCAGAAGGATTTATGGTCCAGTAAAGGAGGGTGATGTCTGGAGGAAAAGAAAAAATAGGGAGCTCAGTTCTCTCTATGCAGACATCGACGTAGTCACGTATATTAAACTGGCCAGACTAAGGTGGGCAGGGCATGTGGCCAGAATGAGCACCCTTGAAATACCAAAAAAAATAATGATGGAGGAGCTGCACCTCGTAAGACGGGTAGGAAGGCCGAGGACGAGATGGTTGGACAACGTGGCCTATGATGCGAGAACCCTGCTTGGTGTGCGGAATTGGAGAGCTGCAGCAGAAGATAGAGCCAACTGGCGGAGGCTCTTGGAGGAGGCCCAGTCTCGGTGACGGGATGTTGTGCCATACATGAATGAATGAATGACAGGAGGTCATAGGTTTATATAATTAATTTATTTTCTGATTTCGATAGTTAACAAGTAAATAGTCTTGTTCATAAAATAATTCTTTTTTAAACATATTTCATTTAAATTATCTTTGGTTAGATTAAAACTGAAGTAAAAAGAAAAAAATACTTATGTACAATATAATTTCATGTAAATTGTTTTATATATGTATAACCACATTCATTGAAAAATTGTCTTTAATTCTGGGGAAAATTCTCTTAAAAATAATAATGGTGTACAGAAAAAAAAAACATTACTTCAGGCTAAGAACTATTACAATTAACGAATTACTAAAAATCATTAAATAATTGTATATGCACTAAGACATAATATAAGATATATTTATAACACACATATATATATATGAGCCTTTCAGTTGACAGAATAACTTACTACAATTCCAACATTTTTGAATAATGTCATTGTAGTGACATTTATTGTTGAAAAATTTATGTCAGACAGTAAGTCTGTAGTCTATTTGTACAGTTATCTCATTCACTGGTTGTCAGTGGACATTGACAGTTGTGAATTAAAAAATAAAGAGGAAAAAAAAAAAAAGACAGTAAGTTGATTTACAGAGTAGGTCCATTGCAGTGTTGAAATATAGAACTCTGAATAAAAGTATAAATTTTCCCACTGAAAATATCACTAAAATTATCAAAAATGTTGAAATTTGTGTTAGCCATTCTGTCAATTGAAAGCCGCATTTATATTACATAATAAAAACAATCATGGGTATTGACTATGATCGAAAAATGTAGATTTTGAACTACAATATTGGCATTTAGTTGAAATTCATTTCTAGTTACATGTAATTTCTTTAGTCTTTCCCATTTAAACTCAACGTACTCAAAATAACAGTTACTGATTACTATAATATAAAAAGATATATTAATAATTAGTAAATTAATAGCAACTCACAAAATCTCGAATGACCTGTACCGGCTCTAGGAAATGTACGAAGTAGGCTAAACCCATCAGCAACAATCCGGAAACAAATACTTTTACGTAACCTGAAAATTAGAAAAAATATATATATAATTATTTGCCTGGTTATCGGTATTGAATCATTAAATTATTTAAATCTTACAAATACAAATACTTGAAATAAACTGAAATCGAATTATCAATATCTTTTAAAATAAAAAACAAAAATTGTGAATATTTTCTCCTCATGCCACTCTTAGAATTCCAGCATCCAACGAATGCCTGATTTCTAAAGATTTGCAATTAGTCAAGAAAATAAATAGTTTTTAACATTAAATCTTGTTTGGTAGATTTTTCTGTTGGCAATATTTTTGCTGATAACTTACTATAAGTAATTAATTAAGTATATACAAATATGAAATAATAATTATATATAATAATATTTACCTATAATAATATTTTAAATATAATAATATTTTAGGGAGTGGAAAAGCTCAGTGGCAGGGTACTGAGTTTCCAATGCTAAAGGTCCAGGTTCGAATCCCGGCTCATGGCAGAAAAATTATACTTTCTGTTTAATTGGCCGTGGGACGACCCTGGGTAGTTAGATACTCCTGGGGCACATTCAGCCTCTATAACAAACCCTTGCACAACCGTAGACCTAGAAACAGTGCTTTCACTAAATAGTACTGAATCCAAGACCCTTCATGTTTTTTTTTTTCTGCTATTATTGACTTTAGTTCCAGAATAAAATTATTTTTCAATTCATTTCAATATAACAATAATGGAATGATTGAAGAAAAGTTGGTTAGGGTCTTCATTCAAAATAATCAATAAGCTATAAACTCCACTGTTATTTTTATTTTAATTCAATACCATCTAATTTTACCATCCCTCGTAACTTTTCTTCCAGCATCTTTTCGTTAAAGTATGTTATATAGATAAATTTAAAGGACGTCGAGAAGAAGACTTCATCCAAGTTTCATTGAAATCGGTACATCCGTTTAGGCGCTACAGTCTATATTAACGCAGGTTTTTCCGCCACCATTTTGAAAGTAAAAGGCGGATTGTAATGTCGATGAAGGAGGATCATCCTCAAGTGACCTCTGATAATAAATCCCCATTTCAAATAAAAAAATCGGTCCAGTAGTTTTGGAGAAAATGTGCGGACGGACGGGGGCCGGGTGGCCGAATGGGCTAAAGCGTGTGCACAGCACCGCGAGTTGCCTGGCAACCGGATTACAGATTTGAGAAGATTTAAAAAGACCGAGTTCGCGTCCCCCGCAGTCCTAATGATAACCCACATTATTGAGTTCAAACTTTGACAAACTTAATAAATAATATTATTAAAGGCTTATCCTCATTATTTTTCATCCTTAAACAAAAAAAAAAAAACAAGTATTAGTTTAACCTTTTTTTCTTTAATTTTAGCAAAAAAAAAAAAAAATAGTTTCACTAATGGGAACCTATTCAGAGATGTGTAGCCTAAGTGGGTTATTCGTGCGGGAAAGATGTGGGTTAGGGGTGAGCCGGTGACGGAAGAAGAGAAGATGCATCAGCTGGTCACTCGGCTGCGTGATGTAACGCTTTCATAAGTGCCTCTTACCGAACACTTTCTGATGGAGAATTCTTCCTCAAGGTAACCCTGCCTCCATCCATTTGGAACCAAGTTCCACTGACTCTGTTTCTGTTCCACTTGCTAGTGTTTTAATGAGGTGTTTTTGTATTGTGTTGAATTATGGTAGCACTGGCGGATCCAGGATTTACTTTTTGTTTTTGGGGGGGGAGGGGAGCTTCGTCCCGAAAGAATTTTTGTTCATATATATAACGATAATTAATTTGAAAGAAAGGAATAACCTACCTATATGAAAGGGTGTTTAAGTGATTCTTGAAGTCCTATTAAATGTAATTTCACGAACAATAATACTTTAAGAGATAGTTTTTAATATTTTTTTTCTATAAAACATGGTCATATTTTACCGTTTTGGGGAGGGCTTCAGCCCGAAAGTCCCATTCCCCCCGTAGATCCGCCTGTGTACGGTAGCCCTGCGATAAACGGTAAGTTTAAAAACTACCGATATAGTTGGTAAATAAATTTAAATTTATATTATGTCACTTAAGTAGAGGAAAATATTTAAGGAGAAAATAGGATACTTCAAGTACTAAAAAAAAAGTATATATAAATAATGGCTCGATTTTCAGTAGAAAAGTAGGAAATTAAAGTTTTAAGTTTTTTTCAACCGTCAAATCTTATGATAGTGAACATCTATAAATTCTGTATCTTCATATAGGATGAACGCACCAGTTATGGACAGAAGGTCCAGTAACAGACAAGGTTGGACTTTTAATGTAATTAATAAGCTTTCTTGACGATTTAAAGTTTACAGTTTTTTCTAGATTGAAGAACAGTGCCCTCTATTAACTATATGAATAAAGTTCCCAAAAGAACATTTTAAAATGTCTATCATTATTGTTTCTATAGTACTCTTGAGATCAGTGTGTACCATGTCTTCCTACTAATACTGTTGCTAAGAATAAGTTGAACTTTTATCTTTGTAGATAAAAAAACATTTTAAATTTTTTCTGAAGTATGTCCATTACTAGAACAATGAATTTCGGGGTGTTCGTCAGTAGTGCAAAAAGATATATTTTCTTTTTATGGAGATTATAATAATAATGCTTTATTTATTCTGGGACGAGTCCCTTTAGAATAATACAGAAAGGCAAAAAATGTGGATTGAGGAGCCTCAGAGAAACATGAAGAAGAATATAGTTTGATTAAATAGTCAAAATAAAAAATAATAAAAGAAATTATAAGTTACTTTCTAATTTAAATCAGTTAATAATAAAAATAAAAAATTGAAAATAAACATGAAGTAAAAATAATTAAAAACGATCTAATAATGTATATACATATTTACAATAGTAGCTATTTACAATTTTATGAGGACTGGATGGATAAGAAATGATTAAACAGTCGATATTTAAAGGTAGGAAGAGTTTTGGATTGACGAATGTGGGGAGGGATGGAGTTCCATAGGGTTGAGGATCAAACAATGAAAGATTATACCTACATAACTCAATATTTTTTTTAAATTTTAATGTTTTAAATATAAAAAAGAGATACTAGAAATTCTAAACGTTCAACGGAGAAGTTTATAACTATAATAATTACGACGGCATAAGCCAAAAAAGATAAAATTGCCTAATCTATGTCCATCACAGGTGCGCTTAACCTACTAACAAATTCCTTGTACTGCATGCTATGTTTCATGAATTCCAACTTATCACAGATTGCACCGTCTTACAACAAGTGCTTGATGATATTAGGAGGAAGTCGTCCCATCCGGCACGTAAAAGAGTAAGTAAGGGAAAGTTGACCTCAGAGACAAATCGGTTGCTGAAACCTCTGTGGCATTATCGTCCTTCCGGTCCTAATCCTTCAATTAGCCTCAATAGTGGTTTAGAGACGGATTCTAGAATAGGCCATTTGGCTTAATGGTTGTTAGGTACACGCGTAAAAAGAAGTCGGAAACCTTTAAGGACAACTTCGTTAATTTTTTACTTTACTAATAGAATCTACGCCTTCCGTATTAGATCAAAATATTTTAAGGAAGGTTGTTTCAGCAGCGCTACATTACAGTCAAGTCGATAACAGCCAGGCGTAGTATCGCCAGAGTAAAGCCGATTGTGAGTACTGGGTGTTCCTGCTATTTCTAAAAAATGTAAATTAATTAAAAAGACAAGAAAGAACAGTTCTTGAGAACTATTGGAAAAGAATAATTCATAGAACAACGAGGCAATTTGTGAAATAAGATCTTATTCGTTTTCTGCACAGGCAGATCTACGGAGGGGTGGTAAAATAATAAAATGTAACCATTTTTATGTTAAAAAATATCTCTTAAAATATTATTGTTCGTGTAATTACATTTAATAGGGCTTCAAAGATCACATTTCATATATGTAGATGGTATATTTCTTTTTTTTAGAGGAGTTATCGTTATATATACATATGAATAAAAAACCTTTCGGGCTGGAGCTTCCCCCCAAAATAAAATACTGGATCCGCTGGTGGTTTTCTGTACCGTCATTATTTGAGCCTTTTAGTTTATAGAATGGCTAACTCAAATTTCAACATTTTTGAGTAAAGTGATACATATTTCTAGTCGGAAAATTTATAATATCTGTACAGACAGTAAGTTGATCCCAGAGTAGGTGATTGCAGTGTTGAAATATAGAACCGTCAATAAAGGTATAAATTTTCGCACTATAAATATAACTAAAATTAATAATCAGAAATGTGTAAATTGAAGTTAATCATTCTGCCAACTGAGGCTAATTTAATAGTAGTTGAAATCAACAGATCTGGAAAAAAATTAAAGGTATCATGAATGAAGTCGGGCATAATTCGAATTTGAAATTATATAGAATAGAAAATAAATATTATTTTGGGACGATGTCTCCTTAGAATAACAATAATAAACAGTTACAAACGAAAAAAAATCTGGTGCGCGCAACACACAACTTTCACTTAACGCTCAACTTTTAATAGAAATTATTTTCAGGCCATGTTGTGCTATTATAAAATGTTTGAATTGCATTTTTAACTTAGCTAAAGCTAAAAAATTGCAGCTAACAAATTATAAATACCATTAAAATAGCAAATAGTCCTATTTATTATATCACCGGTTCATTATGGATTGTACGATCCGTTAATTATGGATTGCATGACTACTAGTTATTAAACTGATATTTTCCATTACAAAGTTTACTAAAACGGAATTGAGAGATTTCCACTGTCTGTCATAGACAGGTCAAAAGTTGTCACAATAATTGTAAGTGGATACTGTTGGCATATCACAAAAGGAAATTTCAATACTGAGAGATAGTTAATTATTTGAAATTTAGCATGTGATCCTGTAAAGTGACATCAACTGGGATAAAATCTAAATGGTATTAAAGACCTCTTAATTATACAATACAATCGAGTTTAATCAAAATCGTTATTATTATCAGAGCCGTTATTGAGAAAATTGTGAAAAAGTTTTTCAGCGTTGATATAAAGTGGCACTTCCGGTTAGGCGAT